TACAATTATTTATTTTTTATCCTCCGACAGTTTAAGGTCTATTAAAACTAATTAAATTTGTTCTATTAAAATCTAATTTAGAAACGTTCGTTTATCTAGTTTCTGGTCTAATAGAATTATTATTATTATTCTAATTAACTAAGTTATTTTTTATAAAAATTTTAACTAATTCATTTTCTAAATTTTTTTAATTGTTTAATTCTATTTCTGGCACTAAAAGACCTTTATATTCAGATCTATCTAATGGATGTTTAGGCTATATTTATTTCTTTTATTGTAAATATGAAAATCTAGAATTTTACTATTCACAAAATGTTAAATTTTAAAGATTTTTTTAACTGAATTAGTATGAAAAATTGTTACTATTATAATTAGTATTATCAATATTGTTGCTATTATCATTAATATTATTATTATTATTATTATTATTATTATTATTTTTATTATTATTATTATTATTAATATTTATACTACTCAGAGCATTATTACTATTATTATAGTTACTTTTTATTTCTTTTTATTCATTATTTTTATTTTATTTATTTTATTATTCTTAAAAATTTGTTTTATCTATATTTTTTTGTTTGTATTAGATTATAATTTAATTCTTTTAACTTGGTACTAGTCCACATTTTAGTAAAAAATCTAAATTTTATTATGTTTAATTTTTAAATTATTACCTAATTTTTATTCTATTATCTTAGAACGCTTATTTTTTCAAATTATTGATTTCTTCATCCCTTTCTATTTTTTTTTAAATATTTTCTATAGCTTATTTTTCATTCTTTAAAACTATAGGCCTTATAGATTAATCTATTTACTTTTTAGACATTTCCATATATTTATTCCATGAAAATGAGGCTCTTCCATATAAAGAATTTTTTCTTTTTTTTTCTTACTAATAAATTAATTTAAACTTGAAGTATTCTTTTAATTCACTAAGTTGTTTAATAATTTTTCATCTAATACAGTAATTATATCTTATTTACATTCCATTTATAAAGCTATTCTTTCTTATCTTCTTGATTGTATTCGTATTTAGTTATCAGTTTTATTTGCATTGACTATAATTTTCTTTACATTTTCTTAACTTAATTTATCTATTAATTAAAGATTTTACATTTATTGTATATTTAATTTATTTTAATCTTAATCATGGAAATAATATGGGTAATATTTTTTTGATGTCTATTAACGATTATTCCATATATTATAATTATCGTTATAATATTAGTGGTTTTTTATTTATTTATCTGTTTTTTATATTGTACTGAATTCTGGTAATTGTTTTTGTAGATAATATTGTTATATGGGTGTATATTTTTATAAATTAATCATATTTTTTATTATTTACAAAAAAAAAAAATATATAATATGTGCTTAATATAATATAGAATTCAAATTAATTATTTAAAAAAAAAAAAACAATTATTTTTAAATAATAAAAAATATTATATAATAATATATATATTTTAATTATCTATATCATTAAAAACAGTTAGAATTAATAAAATCAATCTTTTTTCGGAATGGTTTTAATATATAAACTTTTAATAATTTTTTTGTATTTAATATAAACTTCTTCCTTATCAGATTTGTTTAATTAATAAATTTTTATATTATTTTTTATTTCATACATTTTCTAATCCATTAACTAAAATATATTATCGAAACCTTTTTTAATTCTTTTATAATTATCAATGAATATAATTTTTTTATTTGTCATTTATTCTACTTCCTAAAAATAAGTTTAATTAATATCAACTTATTCTTAATTTTATTTTGGTTTTTATTATAACATTAGAGAAATTTTAAGAAGAGCTTTTAATGAAATTCTTTTTTTTACATCATCTCTTATTTAAACTGACTTTAAGCTTTTAATTTTTCTAGCAGAAACTATATTACTAACACTATCTTATAATTAAAGTGTTTAATTATTATTTTAAATAACTTCTTCATCATCATTTTATATATTTTGTTGTATATCTTAAATGATGTTTGATAAGTTTTATTTTGAAAGGTTAAAATTAGAACTATTAATTTACAAATTATATTTATTATTATTATTATTATTATTATTTTTATTATTATTATTATTATTATTATAATTTTATTTCTATTCTTCTTTACTTTCCTATATACACTAATTTTTATCAATTTAATCGTATATATTTTCTTCATTTTATTTTACTTATTAAGATTTATTATTTTATTCTACTTTCCCATTATTTTAATTATTATTATCTGTAATTTATTTTATTATTTCATATTCTTTGAATTTTTATATTTAATTTTTTTTAAATAATTCTGTTCTCTTTTTTATTTTATTAATTATTTTATATTCATCTAACTATTAAAGTCTTTATTTCCTTTTATCATTTTCATCTACTATTATTGCTATCATAATATTATTTACAACAAGCATAAAAATTATAATGAATGATATAATATACACATTAACTATAAAACGCGAAAAACTATTTTAATATAAATCCTCTAATATACCAAAAATTGTATCTCCTACTAAAAGTGAAAACAAAGTTGACAAACTTTCCTATATACTACAAAAGCGATTCGATTTACCAAAAAAACTCATTCCAATGATTATATATGTAAATAAAATTGGAATAAAACCTGTGAAATGTCTCACTATTTTCGGAAATGAATATTTTATTAATTCTGTGTTTATATTAAAATTAGATTAATATTCAAAATATTTTAATATTGAAATCCAAGCCATGAAACATCCTTTTATATATACTTGATTATATGTATTTAAAATAAAAATACCTATCCCTTATATTATTCTAAAAGAAGAACCTATAGAATTATGTTCTTTATAATCAGAATCATAGAATATGATGTACAGACTACTCGAGATCTAACAAATATTCCCAATCATAATAAGAAAGAACCAAAAATCAAAATACTTCCTTTTTTCTTCAAAAGTTAGTTAATCCCAAGGTCTTTATTCGCTAAGAATTTTAATTAGGGTAACATTTTCGGAAGATTCGTTTTTTTTATTTTAAATTAAAACTGGACTTTAGATCTTACCTTCCCTTTTAAAAGACATATAATCTCTAATCATATCAAATATATATTTTAAAGTAAGCACAAAACTAAATAAAGATAAAAAAAGTATAATGAAAGTGATAAAAATATCTGATCCATAAAAAAGAGTATTTGGAAGGTTAGATGAGTTATTTTAAAATAATAAGTCTTTACAATAATTTCCATATGAAATCAAATTTGAGCGAATAAAAGAACTGTCAATATATTTATAAACAAGAATAAATTACCAACAAAAGGAAGTCTCATAATTTTGAACTTTCAAATTTTAAATTTGGATTTTAAACTCTGTAGTTTTCGTCAAAAATTCCTTTAATGTATTCTTATCTTGTGGATTAAAAGGAGTCACAATCCCTTAATTTATATCTATAGGAATATTAGAATATGTCTAACTATTATCTATTATTTTTTAATCTTCTGGGTAAGAAGGATAATAAGATAACTTTGTCGTTGATGTCGAATAATCTATTTACGAAAAATATGTATCGTTATAACTTTAAATATTCTTGAATATATTTTATAAATGGGTAGCAAATTCCTCTAGAGTATAAAAATAGTATAATTTTTCACTTCCTGATGCATCTTCATCATCATAAAATAAATGAAGCCATTAGTAATCTTGTTGACGGGTATAAGGATTTAATTCAGAATCTTTATAACATATTTAGACTGTCGTAAATAATACTAGGCCGATGTGTATTAATAATTTAAATGGAAATTTATTGTATCTCTAGTATTTCTTTAAAGGATTTAATGTTAATTTATCTTTAAATTAGTCCTTGTAAATTATGTGCTTTGGATTTAATACATTGTGTAGATCTGGAAGATCAAGTGCTTATGCTGATTATTTATTATTGTTTTCAATCGAATCTTGTTAGAGATTAATTTTTTGTTGGGATTTTTCCATTTTATTTTATTTTTTTTAATTTTATATAAATATAAATTTATTTATAAATAAAAATATATAATAAAGCTAAATATTTTTTTTTTATAATAATATATATTGATTTATATAATTAATGATATTATTATATAATACATGATGAAATAATGTTATTTTTTTTTTATTTTTCATTATCAAATAAATTTTGGATTTTCGTTAAAATATCTAAAAGATAAACCTATTAATACTAAAGATATGATACTAATTGTATATATCCATTAAAAGCTAAACAATGAACCCTTAATTTTTTTATTTATAAAAATAAAAAATGTTATTTATTTTAATAATAATACTTATTATGATAATGCAATAATTATATGAATTAGTAAATTTGAAAATGCAAAACCTAATAATATTAGACCAAATATTAATTTACCTATTCTATTTTTAATTTTTAATTTTTATTTTTTAAAAAATTATTTACTTATATCCAAAAACTTTAGGAATAAAATTACTAAACCAGCTAAAAATACCACCTTAAATAAAAATTAAACTAAAAATACTTAATTTATAAACAATATCATTTTTTCCAGCATATTGAAAAATAAAAATGAGTATAGTCTTTTTATTATTTTTATTAAAATAAGCATGTGTTTGTAAAAAAATAACTTTTTTACTTAAACTGAAATTAATAAATAGAAGCTTTTTCTAAATTCTAATTTATTAATTAATTTAGTCCATAAATATCTTGAACTTCCGAAAACAGCAAAAGCAAAACTGCCTAATAAAGTTTATTAAAAATCATTTTTATTCTAAACTAATCCATAGGTTTTATAATAACCCATTGCAAAATATCCAAAAACTAAAGAAATAAATATATATATATATAGATAAAACTTTATTTAAAAGTAATGTAATAAATAAAAACATGATGAAAAAATAGCGAAAAATAAAAGTTAGAAAAATTGTTTTGATTTAATTCCGTCTTTTAATGAAGGACATTCTTATTAAGGAATCATTCTTTTTATTTTTCTTTAGCACTATCATCTTATTTTAATTTTTTTATTTTACAACTTAATAATAATGGTATGATTATAATAATCCAGCTTTTTTTAATTTAAAAAAAATATATGTTTAATAATTTATATATAAATTATACCATTATTATTTTTTAAAAATATAAGAGAAAAAGTTCCCAAAATTACAAAAGAAACTGCAAAAAAAGTCATCATACTAGGAGTATTATAAGAAATACATTCTTCAAAATAAACACTATTTTCACCGTTTTCATATTCGTTTCTTTTTGGTTAATCGTTTTGATAATTTACAATAATATAAGAAAAGTAAGAAAAAATTGCTGAACCAAAACCATATCCGGCTTATAATATTGCATTTACCTCTCCAGGTTTAGTTGGGAAATATCTCCAAGAACATAAAAAGGGAACCATGTATAAGATTCCGTAAATTGGTGCAATACAAAAAATATAAATAAATGCAATTAAATAAAAATTCTTTATTATTGATAGCAATTAAAAAAATGTGCTTAAAAATGCTATTCCAACAAAAACTACGTTTTTTAATCCTGCTTTTGCTATTATTCGTTCTCCAAAAGGAATAACTTTTTAAATTATAAAAAAATATAAATTTTATTTATAATTTATTTAATATATATTTTTACGTGCATTCATAACAATATTCATGAACGGAAATATTAATGATACTAAATCACTTTATATATTATGATCATTTGATTTTAAATAACTTGATAAATAAATAGAATATCCTCCCCATGAATAAAATGAACCTAAAATCTTTTTATTTTATAAAAAAAAAAAAAATATTAATTTAATTCAAATAAAATTATTCAAAATAAGTTAATTTGTTTTAAATATATTTTTAAAAATACTATATTTATGCTAAGACCTCCAACTAAAACTTTCCAACTATCATTTTATATTTATATTATTTATTAAGTTGATAGCTTTTAGCCTTTTATCATTTTTTTAAAAATATAATATAATTTTAAAAAATTTTTTATTGTATATTTGTATATTTTTTATAATATTAATTTGAATAATATAAAAAATATTAAATATTTTTTTATAATATTTATATATAAAATTAATAAATTATATTTTTATATTTAAATAATTCATTTTATTTACCTTATTTTAATTTGTTTATAAAAATTAATAAATTTAATAATTTTTTAAAAATTTATATAATAAATAACATTATTAATAATAATGTATATATTTATAAATAATTTATAAATTTCAAGTTTAAATAAATTATTTTATAAAGATATTTAATTTTTGATATATATAAATTAATTTAAAGTATTATTATTTAAATATTTTTATATTTTTAATAAAAAATTATTAAAAAAGAACTATTAATTTTTAAACTAGTTTAATAAATTAAAAATTGTTTGAAAAATAAAAATATACACTTTATTCTAATATAATTATAAGTTTTTAAAGCTTTAAAATAATTTAAAAAAAAGAAATTTTATAAAATATTATTAATAAATAATAATATTTTAGTAGTAAATATTTTACCCATGAATAAATATATTTTTTAAAAGTTTAAATCAAAAAGTAATACAACATGCTTAATATCTACTTTTTTTGATATTTAATTTATTAGATACAATAAATTAACTTAAATGAAAAGCATATTCATCAAAATCAATGTATTATCTTTAAATTAGTAATTTTATTAACATATTGTATTTATCTATTGGATTTTCTTCTATAAAAATAATTAAATAAAAATAAAAGAATTATATACAAAAAAAATATTTAAAAATTAAAATATTAATAATAAATAAGTTAAAAAGTTTAGCAAGCTTTTATATTATAAATGAATTAATACTGATTTAATTTGTAAAAATTATATTATAATAATAATATTATATATATTTTACTAAATTAGTTTTTTAAATATTCTATTAATTCTGGTATTTTTTTTGTTTCTATTATTCCAATTTTGTTAGGATCCATTTTATACCAATTTCTTTCAATAACTGTTATTTTTTTTCCACAAAGATTTTCTATTATACTTTTATTAATATAATTAATATATTATAAAAAAAAATAATAAACTATTTTTTATCTAATTTAATTTTTTAAACTTATTCAAGCCCTTTTTATTTTCTTTTTAAAATTTGAACCATTTATACAAATTCCTTTTTAGATATACCATATTTTAAATTAAAATCTGAATAAATATTATTTATTTAATTTTGATCACATGCTAATAAAAAATATATATGATTATATAAGCATATAAATTAAAATTATAATAATTATATTACCTTTATAAAAATTAAAAAATAAACTAAAGGCATTATTAATATAAATTTAATCTAATTTATTTGATTATATATTTTCTATTAATAGAATTTTATTAAATGCATATTCAGCATCATTAATTTCTTATTAAGTTAATTCATAAAATTATTTTCTTTTAGAGTCTGATTTTGATCTCGGTGTATATTAATCGTTTTAAATCAAAACTAATTTATTCATAAAACTATTTAAAAGAATAAAAAAATATAATTTAAAATATTAAATTAAATAAAAATAACAATAATAATAATAAATAAAAAAAAATATATTAATATATAAATAAATAATATATATATATATATATATATATTTATATATTTATATATTTATTTATATTTTAATATATATTTTTTTATATTATAAAACATGTTTTATATTATCATAGTATTTTATTTATTAAATTTTTTTTTTATTATTTTTTTTTTATTCAATTTTTTTTTTAAAAAGTAATTTTATTAATTTTTATTTATTATTACTTTATAATTATTAAAATAAAAACAAAAATATTTTACTTTAACAATAAAAATTTTAAACTATTTTATTTATTTTAATACATTTATCTATTTTTTAATTAAATCATTATTATAAATGGACAATAATTAAAACATTTTTTAAAATAAATATTTTTCTTAACGAGTTTAGTAAATTGATAAAGTTAATTCCAATTCTTCTTAGTTAAATTAATTATTTAAAAATCATATTATCGAAATAATGTCTAAAAAATTTAACAACAATTAAAGAGATATATACTTTTAACAAACAATTTAATAAATAGAAAAAGAATAATTACTAGACATTTAGAATGAATAAACATGTTAGGTTTTTATATATTTTATTAATAATTATATTCATAAAATTTACATAATAATTATTAATATTTACTTTTTATAAATTACAGCTTCTAATATATTTATTATAGAAGCCTATCAAAAATCAATAAGAAATATAAATTTTAACATTATTTATATAAAACATTCAAATTTTTAAAGAATAGCAAGAATTAATAAATATAGACAAAATAAATAATAAAATTATATAAAATCTTAAAATAGTTTTTATAAATAAGTATAAACCATTATTTAACTATGGAGAGAGAGGAAGTGATTTTTTTATTCTATTATAAGGTAAAAATCAATAAAAATTATTAAAATATTATTTTGTTATTTTTGAAGGTCTATAATTTTTAAAAATAATAAAATAATTTTAAATAATATATTTATTAAATAGGGGAAGCTTATTGTCTTATTCCTAAATTAATTTCCAACAATAATAATAGTTTTGAAGAAGAAAAAGGCAATTTATTATTAAAAAAAATAGCAGTGTTAATAAAAAAGATTAAATAATAAATTAATAATTATAGTAATATAAATAAAAAAAACCATTAATTTATTTAAAAATTAATATATAGAGAAGAATAAAATGAACAAATTTTTTTATAAAGAGAATATAGTAATTTTAGATGTATTAAAATATATAAATCTGGCGATACATTCGGAGAGATAGCATTATTAACTTCAGAATCGAGAAGGTAAAATATATAACATTTTTATTTTAATTTTTTTTTTAAAAAAAAATTAATAAAGAATGGCTAGTATTGTATGTAAATAAGATTCATGGTTTGTAAGCTTAAAAAAAGATAGTTATTAATAAATAATAGGAGCGTTTTAATAAGCTATTTTAAATGAAAAACTCAATTTTTTTTGTAAATTTGAGTTTTTTTAAAACATAAATTCAGGAAAATTGATAAGCTTTATTCATACTATATAAAATACAACTTTTTAATTAGGATAAGAAATATATAAATAAGAGAAAGACTAAAATTTAAAGATATATTTTATAATAGAAGGAGAAATATAAATAAACTATTAAATAAAATATTAATAAAATAATAAAATGTAAAAAAAAAAATACGAATAATTTTTTAAAATTTGTAAATAAAAATTTGATAAATAATTAATTAAATTGAGCAATAATAATTATTTTGGAGATGAAGATTATTATTTTAATAAATTAAATAGAGTTTTTTCTGCTTTTTGTCTTTCTTAAAAAGCTAAAGTTTATGCCATTGATGCTCTTTTATTAATTTAGTTCCTTAAGTAACATTCTTAATATAAAATATTTAAATAATCTGCTTTTAATAAATTCTAGTATTGTAAAAATATTATAAATTAACATTTGTCCTCTTCTAAATTAAAATAAGAAAATATTAATAATGCATTAGATAACTAATTAAATAATATAAATATTAATTAAAAGAATTAACAAAATACTAATAAAAATTTTTCATTCAATACCCGTTTAGACAATATATATACTAGAAGTTATAATAAAAATATTTCTTTCTAAAATAAATAATTATAATGTAATAACTATTAAAATTAATTTAATTTCACTATTGATGACGTACCTATGACTACTTCAATGAATAGGAAAGAACCAGATTTATTAATGAGGAAATATTTGATTTAAAAAAATTTACTGAGAGAAAATAAATCGGTTACTTTACCAAATTTAAATTAAAAAGGTAATTTGAGCTCGATTTCTAAATATATTACCTAATAATAAAAAAATCGTTCTATTTTACCTTAAATTAGTACTTAAGAATAATATAAAAATAAATGCTAAAATAGTTATATTTAATATATGTCTATTGAAGAAATTAATTTATCCATATAGTATTAAAGATCAAATTAAAAAAAAAAATTAACTAATAAAAATAAGAAAGATTCGAAATAAACAAATACAACTAAAATAGATTTTAATAAATCAAATGAATGAAATAAAATAAAAATTAAATAAATAATAATATATATAATAATTATTTTATTTATTTATAAAGTCTTTTTTTAAAAAAAAAATACAATATTTCACATATCAAAGTCATCTAAATATTCTTCACTTATAGTATCATCTTGCACTTTCGATTAACTAATATCATATTATAAAGAAGTATTTTTTTTAATGCTTTCTTTTCTTGTAATACTTCTTGCAATACTTTAAGAAACGCTTTATGAGAAAACCATGCTTTCGAAATCTTCTTCATACTAAAAAAATGTATTTTAATTAAAATTTAATTTTTTACATTTTATGAATAATCTTCACTTTCTTTTTTTCCTTAATTATTGTTTTTCATTTTAAATCTATTTGAATTATTTGTTATACTACAACTTTAGAAATCTTCAGGATAAGAATCTTCACTTTATTATTATTAACATGATGATGATTATTATTATTTTGTTTATTATTTTTCTGTTCCAGAAACTAATAACTAACTAACTGCTCCAGATAAAGTTTTATTTAATTAATTTTAAGTATGATCTTTTTAATGAGATTTTGTTTTTCTTGTTTATAAAGGACCTTTAAATTCGCTTAATTATGATTCCTAAATATTATCATCTATTTAAATTTAATTAGATGTTTTATATGAATTTTAAAGGAATAAACTTTCTTTTGATTTTTAGGTATTTTGTTAATTTTATAATTCATTATTTATTGCTTTTATTAAATAATTTTTTGGTCTTTATAAAATAGATAAGCTTAAGTCAACCCATCCAACAACTATATTTATTTATTTTAATGTAAATATATAAATAATATATATACTATTATTTTGATTGTCAACTAATTTGAATGTATTTCTTCTAAATCTTTCTATTTATTCTGAAATAATAAATTATATGTCTTTTTAAAACATATCTATATTGCAAATTGCTTGACCTATTTTACGATGATTTTTATGCCTAAAATCTTTAAATTAAATTATTAATGTGTAATATTCTAAATATTCTTACATCTTTTAATATTAGCAATTAAAATATATAGACTTACCTTTACTGAAAGCCTTTATTTTTTCTTTATTATTTTTATTTTTTAATAGTTAATTGTAATCCACAAAATCTTCCAAATAAAAGGAACTTTTTGATTATATTATTATTTGTTAAAAATTAGCGAATTTTAATTTAAGACCTGGTTTTTAAATTACAACATCTTCGTTTGGAAATGCAAGTTTTGTTAAACATATATCATGTATTATCACTTTTAATGAAAAAAGAGAAATATTAGACATATTATATTTTATGTTTCTTGTTTTTTTTTAAAAAAAGGTTTTTAAATTTTTTTTTTTAATATTAAATTAAATTATTTGTTTTAAAACAATATAACTTAATGAAAATAAATATTAGTAACAATTCTCATATTAAATAAAATAAATTAATATATTAAGTTTATTTAAGTTAGTAAATACATAAGAATATCTACAATATAATTATTAGATATTTAAAATAATATTCTATATTTTTTATACAATTTAAATAATTATTTTTATTTTGTTTTATTTTTTTAAATTATTTTATTAATTATTTCCTATTATTCTAGCCAATTTACAAAGTTATATATTTTACATAAAAATCTTAATTATTCTAATTTTATAATCTTATTTAATAAGTACTTTAAAATAAATATAATATTTTTAGTTATAGATATTAATGAAACTTTTTTTTTTGATTTCTTTACCTTTTTAATAAACTTAATAATAGTTTTAACAATTTAAATAATCTCATATTTTTCTTAAGTATTGAGTTCTAAAAAATGTAAGATGTCTATATTTAATTCAAACTCTTTTCCATTATATCATTTATTTTTTGACTATTTAACAAAATCGTTTTTATTTGTTAATATTTATAAAAAAAAAAGATTATTTTATTTATATTTTTTTTTAAATTAAATTTATTATTATTAAAAAATTTAATTTTGTAAAAATAAAAAAAAAAAATTTTAAAAAAAAAGTTTATTTTATTTTTACAAAATTTTACCTAAACTTATTTTTAATAAAAAATATTAATAATTTTATTTTTTTAGAGGATTATATTTGAATACTTAGATTTCTTTTAGTAAAAAATAAATTCATATTTTATATTTATAATTTATTAGATCTATGATTATATATATATTTATTTACAAAAATAAATTAAAAGTGTATTTAAAAAATAATTTTATTTATATCCAATCTTTTTCCTGTTTTTAATAAATTAAAGTTATTTCAGAAGATTATTTTTCTATATTTAAATTCCTTTTTACTTAAAGTACATTTTAATTAACTTATTTTGAAAGAGATTATAAATTTATATATTTATAATATTAATATCTTCATTTATTTTTTTACTTTTTAATTGTTTAATGCTTTAATTTAATTATAATTTCTGTTTTTTGTTTTGTTTTAAAAAATAGTTAAGATTTTATTATGATTTTTTTAGATTTTTTTTTGTAAATAAAATAAATTTATTATAAAATTTTATAAATTAAATAATGCAGTTTTAAAAATATCCATAATTTAAAATTTCCTATCTTGTTTTTCATAATGAATAAAAACACAATTAAAATATCAATTGTAATTAAATAAAATAATTTATATTATATAAATATTATAAATTAATTCTTCTTTTTTTTATATTTTAATTTATATTAAGTAAGTAACATTATAAAATATATAATAAACTTATTCATTTTTTTTGTTTATTTTTAAATAAAATAATTATTTCTATTTTTTTTTTATTATTATTAAATTATATTTTTAATTAAAATGCAAATAAAAAGAAAACAAATTTATATATAAATAGAAAAAAACTCATTTTTTCTTATTTTTTTTAGTCATTTATTTTTTTATATGTTTAGGAATTTTATTTTCTCTTTTTTCTTTTTTTTCTTACTTTACTTATTTTTTCCTATCTTATTTATTCAACCCTTCATATTTACTAACTCCTCCCTTCTTTTTTTTATCTTTAATTTATTCTTAATTATCGCCCTCTTCATTTTTCTCATCTTATTAATTTTCGTTGGTGTTCTAATTTTCATCGTCTTTTATATTTTCACTATTTTCACTACTATTATCTTCACTATTACTACTTTCATTATCACTGCTACTATAATTACCTTCACTATTATTACTATCATAGCTATTATTATCATTTTCATGATTATTATTTTCTATTTATTATTGTTATTATAATTAACTTTATTTATTTAAATCATTATTATTATTTTCTTAAAGAATTAATCCCGTTAATTTTGAATAAACTAAATTATCTTATTTATTAATAATATTTTCCTCTATTTACTTTAAACTAATCTCACTTAAAGTTCTTGGAATGTAAATTCCTGCGAAAATCTTTTCCTCTTACTCAGTATCTTCATGTCTATTATTTATTAATTAATCTATTTATTCATCCACATCTTTAATTTAGAGGTCAGTGATAAAATCGAAAACTTACTTCATTCCAAATGTAAGAACTTATTTTTTCTTAAAATAAGAATTTACATTAAATATGTCTCTTCTGAGGAAATCCAAAGCATGATTATGGTCATGTTCTATACTCTAAGAGACATCAATCATATATAAAATCTCATTATAATATAAAAGGTTATATTCAGACAAGTCTCCATGTATTAAATGGCAGTCTTGGTATAAAGTCCTCATATTTTTCAATAATTAAAGATATATTTTACTATAATCTTCCTATAAAAGTCCTTCTGCATCTTTTAATCTAGGGGCCGCTTTCCCGTCTTTACCAATAAAAGACATCATTAGGATATTAGATTTTATTAAAAGCGGATCAGGGCAAGGAATCGAGCTTTATTGGATTCTTTTTAAATTCCTGATTTCTTTTTCGGCCCAAAGTTTTATCATTTTTCTCGGATTTCCCTTACAATGTCCTTTTCTAAATCTGAATTCTCCAGCTACATATTTATCTCTATCTTTGAATACTAAAATGGATGTTTTATATATTTTTATTGCAAATTCATTCCCTTTTTCATTACTTGCATGATATACATTTGCTTCTTTTCCAGTTGAAATACATCCATTTATTTCCTTTATAATTTTCTTGTTTAGTAATTTAACTAATATAACTCGAGTCTTTGGGTCTAATACTTATTCTACTGTTGCTCGGTCTTTTTTGTCTTTTACTCTCTATGAACCTCTTTATTCTTTATTTAAAGTACCTTTTATTGTGCTTAAAGTACTTTAATGGGCTGTAGTATATGTTGAAGATATGTTTTATAAAGTCACTTTGGATTATAATTTAGATAATTAGGTCTCCTTTTTGAATTCATATGATTAAGTTTGAAGACCTTTTTGGATTGTTACTGTATTTTTATGTTCACTGGGCTCAAAATAGTCGTAATCAGAGGAATTTAAGGAGCTTAATCTGGATTATGACAAGTTGTCGGAGGTGTCTTCTGGAGAGTCGAAGGAGTCATTATATTTTTTTTGTTGCTATTATTGTTTCTTGTTGACATTATTTATTAAATTCTTTTTATTTTTATACAATTAATTTATTTTTAGACTTCAGTAATTAATATTTTTATTTTTGATAATATATGTTTTTATAGTTATTAATTAATATTTTTGTTTTTTTTATTTGATTTCTATTTTATATATTCCTATTTTTTTATATTTTATTTATAAAATACAAAATAAAAACAAAAAATAAAAATGAAACGATTTTTATTAGAAAATTTAAAAGATTATTAAAAATATTTAAAATAAGATTTGCCTATTTTAGATTAAAATGGTGACGAACAAGTAATAATAAACTTAGATTTTAATGAAAATGCGAATGAGTTTTTAGAAAATATCTCAAAAATCGAACAAGCCCAATAAGAAAACGTTGACGAATTAAAAGAAACAAGTCTTTTGAAATCCAAATTTGATCCAAATATTAATGTATCGAAATAAACTACAGAATTACTATAAGCTTTGAAATTAAATGATTAAGATTTAGAGGAGTTTTTATTAGTATTATCATTAAATAAATAATTTAAAGGCGAATTAATAATATCGGAAAATAATATAACGGATTAAGTATTATTTTTTAAGATAATTATTGAATATATTTATAATATAAAATAAATAAATAGACAACAAATAGAATTTGTAGTATTTTAAAATAAAACATTCCAGTAATAACAGGACTTTCATTAAATAAAATATAAAAATTCACTTATATTAGTGGAGAAAATTTAGGAAATGCAATAAAAGTAAACAACACATTAAGAAAATTACATCTTCATTAAGCTAGATTATAAACTTAAGGAGCTAAGTATTTTAATTTAATATTTTATTTTATTTTACTTCATCTAAAAAAAGCCGTGTTATTGAAGGTATTAAATTAAATAAATTAATTCAAGATTATGATTTCGGATAACTTACAAATACTAGTTTAAAATATTTAGTTAAATATTTAAGTGGAGAGCATAATGTCAGAAATTTGAGTTTTTCAGAAGGTTTTTTTTAAAAAAATAAATAAATATATTTATAATTAATTAAATATTAAAAGATATAAGTGAAATATGGACTGATTAAATACGAATGATGTTTTTAAATGTTTTAAGAGATAATCCTTATAATAAATAACTACTTTCGGTAGATATCTATTCGGAAAGAATTGAAGAAAATTAAAAGTATGAAAAAAATAAAATAAAAAAAATATATTATATTAAATATCATTGTAAAAATATAAAAAAAGCTTTATAGCTGAAATTTCAATACTTTGTTAAAATAATAGAACAGCAGAAATAACTAAAAAAAATAATGAATATAAAAGCAAAGAATTAAATACAAGCCATTCAGAATATTATGATGGGTATATGTTTAATATTTAAATATTTATTTGTTAATAAAAAAAATAGTGATAATCATGTAAAAAATGCTTTCTCTTTTTCAGTAAAAAGCTATATGTCAAATGTAATTGAAACTTTACTTGATGAAGGTCTTTATTACTTAGATAAAGAAAGAGCAAATATTATTAGAGATGAAAAAATTTTTGACATTAATAAAGAGTTTGTTAATAAATAAATTTTAGATGATATTTTCAAAGCTGATGGATCATTACTTGTTTTAGCTAAATATATGATAAACAAATTAAATAAAATAAATAATTGATAATTTTTGTTTAAAATATTCATTAATTATAATCTTCATTAAATTAAATATATAAAAAAATTATTAATATATATAAAAATTAAGTTTAAAAAAAATAATATAATTGTATATATATAAATAAATATATATATATTTATATATATATATATATATATATATATATATTTTTGTATATAAATATTAAAATACACTATTATATTTATTTATTTAAATCTATTATTACATTTATATATTTTTGCTTTTTTTTATTGTAAAAACTAAAAATTAAGGTATTTTTTTATTTTAAAAACTTTTAAAAAAAACTGTAATATAATTAAAAAAAATATATAATTATATAAATTTATAAATATATATAAATATATAAATATATAAATATATAAATATATAAATATATAAATATTTTAATATATAATAAAAAAATTTGTATGAAAATATATTTTTTCTTAATGTATAATAATATTTAATTATTTTTTTGAAAATTATGAAAATTAAAAGTTATAAAATATTTAAATATATATATTTTTTTTAATATCTATTTTTTTTATATATGAAAATAAATGGGAAATAAAAATTTGTAAAAAAGTTAATATGAATAAATAAATAAAAATGAATTAAATAAGTGGCATAATAATTATTAATATAAACATTAAATTTGATGATTAATTAAATTAAAACAAAGAAGATAGCTTAAAAAAATTAAAATAATAATTATTTTTAAAATACAAAAGTAAATAAAAAATTAAAAATAATAAATAAAAGATAAATGAAATATATTAATCATTAATAAATGTAGAATAAATAAATAATATTATATAATCTCATATGTTAAATATTTCGGAATTTAAAATAATAAATATGTCTTTTTCTATTCCTTTTTAAAATTTTGAATCATATTAAAATTTAAAAAAATCTTAAAACACTATTTAAAAATTAATTTAACCAATTGATAAATAAGAAAGTCTTAAAAATATAAATGATTAAATTAATAATGATATTAATTAATTTATTACTTGTTAAAATACTAGTTAACTAAAAATTTCAGAAATAAAAAATTCAAATAAATCTAAATTCTTTGCTATTTCTGAAATTATTAATTTGAATAATTACTAAAGTTAAAGTCCTGTTTAATCTTTAAAATAATTAAATTAAATATAGAATTTTCCTAATAATAATTTAATAATTATAGAGAATAAAAATTAGAATAATATTAATACTAATTATAATAAAGCAAGTTTAATTGATTAGAATATTTATTTAAATAACTCTTAAAATACCTAAATAGGAACATAAAGAAAGAAAATATTTGAACCAATAAATACTTAATAACATATTTCAAAATTAATGTATATTAAAAGTTTAAATAATCAAATATTTTTAACACCATAAAATATTACAAAAATAAATCTTATAAATGATAATCAAGAAAAAAATTTCGTAAATAAGAGCGATTTTGATGTAGAATATTAAAATTAAATGACTTAAAATAAAAATGAAGTATAATATTAAAAAAAATAGAATAATTAAAATGTATATGAATTATAAACAAATTAAAGAAATAATGTTTAAAAATATTAAAAAGAAAATATTTTTAATAAAAAGAAGGAATAATATAATAAATTAATTGAATATTTTAAAAAGTAAAAAATGAATAAAAAGATTGAAGAATATAAAATTAAACCTAAAAATAAAATAATTAAAATTTAAAAAATTAATAAAAATGTAAATTTTGAAGAAGCACTTAGAAAGCTTGAAAATCATAGATAAACGCCTTTTAAAAATTATAATTTTTATTTAAAAAACAATAATTAATCATAAGATAAAAGAAATTAAAATGATTTTACAAATAATTAAAAAATCAATTAAAGTAGTTAATTTTCTTAAAAAAAAAAATTATTGGCATTTAAAAGTCTTAATATTAAAATTATTAGAGTAATTTCGTAAATAACTAGTTAGTAATGAGAACTGTTTCTAAAGATTATGTTTATAAAAAAAGACCTGAATCAAATAAAATTAATAATAAATCTATATATTAAAATAATAAAATTATTTAGAAAACTGAAAATTTATAAAATAAATAAATTATTAAAAATTAAAAATAACCCAAAGTAATTAAATATATGAGAAAAAAAACATATATTATTTTATTATAGATATAATTTTTTTATTTTTTATTTTTTTAAAGAGCACTACTCCAAATTATTATAGAAATTCTAATAGGCTTGATGATACTCATAGTTTTTTATTACAAAAAAAATAATGTAATAAAAAAGCTAACTATATAAAAAATAATTAAATTTATTAAACAAAATAATAAAATATATTAAAAATGAATATTTCATACTAATTTTTTAATTATGTTTTTGATTATAATTTTTTATTTTTATATTCTTAAAAATAGAAATCTTAAAATAGTATATGCAAAATTGAATCTTTGTAGACTAATCAATTAAAATATTTATAAAAATTACATTAAATATAATTCCAATATCATTAAATTTATATTTTTATAAAAATTTATATTTATTTAGCGTTACTTTACTAAATTATATAATTTATCTTTATAATTATTATTATTTTATAAAAAATAAATAAAAGAATATGTTCTATCTCATAAGCATTTTTATTAAATATTTTGAAATTTGAATATTTATCTATTCTAAAATTAACCTATAAATAATATAAAATACTAATTATTTATTATTTTTAAAATATTATTATTATTAAAAAAATTATTAAGTTTTTGTAAAAAATAATATAAATAAAAGATAAAAAATATATATATTAAGAATTTATATTAATATTAATATAAAAGCAATATGCAAGTTTCATACATTTCTGAATAATCAAGGCAAATATTAGAAAAAATATAAATTTAAAAAGCATTTAAAAGTCCGGAAAGATTACCTTCAAACATATAAAATGGGCGTCCTTAAATAGAATATACAAAATAAAATTAAGAAATTTATGATAATATGAATAAAAGTTAATAGAAAATAAAAAGCATAAATTAAAAACCAATTGAATAATTTTAAAAATATAATCAATCTTTAGAAAAACAAAATAATAACAAGTAGGATAAAATTTAAATAATCCAGAAGATGAGGCAAAAAATAACAAGAATAATTCATAAAAAATCAATATAAAAGTTATAATTGTAGTCCTTAATAAAAATTATATTTTATGTAACAAAAACTAAATGTTAAAAATTAATATCAAACAAATCATAATTAATAAAGAAGTTCAAGTAATTAAATGCATTTTAATAATTAAGAAAATAAAAATTTTAATATTTAAAAGCATATACAAGATATATTAATTGATATTAAATCAAAAAAAGATTAAAAATAGTATTAAAATGTAATAAAATAGCCAAATTCATTACCTAATGTAAATTTAATTAAAAATAAATAACCAAACTTTTATACTAATTAAATTAAAGAAATATTCAGTAATAATAATAATAATAATAATAATAATAATAATAATAATAATAATAATATTATAAAAACTAATTTAAATCCAGTATTGCAAAAAATCAAAGCTGAGAATGAAATTAAATTTTAAATTTAATAAAACATCGTATAAAATAATATTATAGATAATTTCAATAAAAACAATTTTTCTATAGATTCAGAAGAAAGTATTATTGAACATCGTTAAAATTTTGAATAACAAAGAACTATTTTAGATATGAATAACATTAAAATTATAAAAAGTTTAGGCAAAGGTGCACATTCAGATGTTTTTTTATCAAAAGATAAAGTCACAGGATTTATTTTTGCTATAAAAAGAGTTAAAAAATAAGAAATTATAGAAATTGGTATGGAAGAATAATTTATTTAAGAAATAAAAATTCATATGTAATTAAATCACCCTAATATTGTAAAACTATATGGCTATATAGCTGATTAAGAATATTTTTATTTATTAATAGAATATTGTTAAGGAATATCGTTAAAATAATATGTTAATAAATAATCTAGTAAATATTTATAAGAATATGAAGCCGCTTTTTATTTAAACTAAGTGGCTGAAGCTCTATTATATTTGCATAAATAAAATATTCTCCATAGAGATTTAAAATTAGAAAATTTAATGATTTTTGATGTTTTTTATTTATTTTATTTTTTCTAAAAATTTTAATTATAAAAATATAGGGTATAATAAAATTAATTGATTTTGGTTATAGTAGAAAATGTGATATATTTGAAACAAGAAATACTTTTTGTGGAACTTTAGATTACTTAAGTCCAGAAATTGTTAATGGAGAAGATTATAATTGCTCTGTTGATATTTGGGCTTTTGGTATTCTCAGTTATATGCTTTTATAGGGTGTGAGTCCTTTTTATAAAGAAAGTTAAGATGGAACTATTGAAAATATATTAAAAGGATAATTTTATTTTTAGAGGAAAATAAGTAATGAAGGTCAAGCTTTTGTTAGTAAGCTTTTAAATTCCAAATAAGAAGAAAGAATAAATATAAAAGAATGCTTATAATAATCATGGCTTAAAAAATTTGGGAAAGAAATTATTAATTTAGAAATTTGTTAATAAATTAATAATATTCTATGAATTTAAATTTTATATTTATTTTAATATTTATAAAAAAAATATATATAATTAATAATTTTTTCATTATTTTTAATATTTTTTTATATCAAATTTATATTAATAATAAATATATAGAAATATAATGAAAATAAAATATAAATATAAGCATAATATAAAGAAAGTAATATAAAATTTAAAAATTATAAGAAATTAGATAAAAAAAAAATCATTGTTTTAAAATGGAAGAAAATGAAGAAGTAAAAATAATATTTAAATAAATTGAATGAGATATACAAATAATATATATTAAATTAAAGATATAAAAAAGTAAAAAGAAGAATTATAAAATAAAATAAAAAACAAAAAAAATATTTAGTAAAAGTTTAAATAGAATATAATATAAATTAATGATAAGAAAATAAAAAATAAAATATACCATAATATAAAATAAAAAAGAATAAAAATATAAAAAAAAATTAAACTAAAATAAAAATTAAAAGTAAATAATCTATTAAAAAAGAAAATATCATTAATATAATATAAGTAAAATAAATATATAAGATTTATAAAAATGTTTTAAATTATTAAAAATATAGTTGATAAATTATTAACTTTAAATAAACAAATAAAAAATTAATATAAGATATATATATATATTAAAATAAAAAAATAATAATACAAGTAAGTAATAAATAATTAAAGATATTAATAATTAAATATTAATAAAAATAAAAATTATATATATTTACATTAAATAAAAAAAATTATAATAATATATAATAACTTAATATTAAAAATAAAAAAAAATGAAATTTATTCATTAAAATACAATAGTAAAAATTAAAAAAGTTTAAAATAAAAAATATATTGTAAAAAAATAAAATAAAATGAAATGATATATGTATACGTTAATAAATTTAATATATAAAATTATATATATATATAAATATATATATATTTATATATATATATGCATATATATATGTCATAAGATTTATTTAGAATATATATTAATTGATTATTATTTGATTAAAATTGCAAGAAAAATTTTTATTTTATAAGTTTTAGACATGTTAGATTTAAAAAATGATATAATTAAATTAAATTAAAATTAATATAATATAAGACTACAAATAAAGTATCATACAAATGATATTTGATGTAAAAATAATATATTTTATTTTTTAATATTATTTTATATTTATAAGATGATTAAAATACATTCAATTACATTTATATTTTAATAATAGGTATTTAATTTTTAATAAATTTATATACATTTAAAGTAGAAAAGTTATAAATGATATATATTAATCTTACAAATATTTTAACATCAGAAATATCCTAATGAATATATATATATATATATTAAGAGCTTTTAATTTCTTGTCTATAGGAAAATATTGAGATTTTTTTTATTTTAAGAATGATGTAGCTTATTTTAAAGCCGGCATTAATATTTTCAGATGATTCAAAAAATTATATATAATTAATTCTTATTAAATATTATTATCTTATAAGAAATTGTAATTCTAATATTTATTATAAATTACGTATCAAAAATTTTTTGCTCTAATTGAATTACTTAAGAAAAATTATTAAAGTTTTATCATAATTATTTAAATGAAAAAGATAAATAATAATTAAATAATAAATATTATTCTTAAAAATCAATAAAAAAAATATTTATTGTTTTTTGATGTTTTTTATAAAAAATAAAGTTTTTATAATTATTTTATATTATATTTATTTTTCTGTATTTTATTTTATTAAAAACACAATCAAAAAAAAAAATCATTATTTTTGTTGATTAGGCATTTTAAAAAAATAATAAGAAACACATTAAGTAATATTATATTTATTTTAAATAAATTTTAATAATTTATTTAGAAAAATATTATTATAGAAAATTATTAGATTAAATATATTATTTATTTAATTTTATTTATATCTATATTTAGTTTTTTAATATAAAAATAAATAGAGCAAATATTTTCCTTAAAATTAAAAACATAAGATATAATTTAAGATTGAAATAAAAAAGCAAATTTTATTTATTTATAAAGTAAAAATTAATAAGAATTTTTAATTCTTAATATTATAGGGAATAAAATCTTTAAGTGATTAATTTCATGACATTAAATTAACTAAATATATATTTTTTATATCAAAAAATAATTTAATAATATTTTAAAATTAAAAAATTATATTAGATTGTATTAGAAATATATTATTTAATATAAATTAAAAATAATAATAATAATATCATATTTAAAAATAATTTATTATTTTTAAAAGAATAAAAGAATAAAAGAATAAAAGAATAAAAGAATAAAGAATAAAGAATAAAAGAATAAAAAATACTTACATGTTTTAATCTAAAGAAAATAGATTTAAACTAATTTATTTACTTAACTTAATAATACTATAATTTTTTAAAATTACAAAAAAAAAAAAATTAAAAATATCTATTTTTTTTATTTTAAGTATAAATATATTAATTTTTCCATTCTACAAATTTAATTCTTTTATTATTTATTATATAAATATTTTTATAAATAATTAAATTATTTATAAAAACATTATAATTATATTATAACAATAAAAATTTATTGTTTTCTTTTTTCTTTATTATTTATTTCAATTTTTTTTTAAAAAAAAATAAGTTAATATCATATACAAAAATTCACATAAATAATATAAAAAAAGTTATAATATTATATTATAAAAAATTACCTATTTTACTAAAATTAAATTTCTTTAATTTAAACAATATATATATATATATTTCTTTAATAAATAAAAACCCTTAGATATTTAATTTATAATTAAATCCTAAATTACTATATAATTATGTAGAATCAAAATAATAAAAATTCCTTTTTTAATTTAAGGAAAGAAAAAGTCACGCCAATTAAAAATTATTAATAAGTTTTAAAAGAAGAAATAAGAGTTACTTTTTTTGACATTATTAATAATAAAATTATCATAAAAGCATTTAAATAAAAAAAAAAAAATTAACTTTTAAATAGAAATCAAATTTAAAATTTTTTTATAATGAATATTTTATTCTAAAAAAATAAATAAAAAAATATGCAAACACACTTATAAAAAAATAATTTAAATAAAACTAAATCATTTATCAATAACATAATTTTTAATATCTTCCTCCGGCATATTCTTAAAAAATTCATCCAAAAACTAATCTTTATCAAAATATTCATTTTCTTTTTCAAAAATAAGATATTTTTCTAAAAACATTTCAATTAAAGCCATATTATAATACATAATTTTTCTCGCACATTATCCTTTTTAAGTAATTCCATAAAGATCAAACTCACCTGCCATAATAATAGCGATATCAGTTTAATTAGCATGAGAGCTTCCTTTTATAAAACAATTTATACTTTTTTTTTTGCTTTTATGAGATGCATTTTAGAAAAATCTTTACAACCTTTTATCATTTTCAAACCAGGGATAAAGTCTTTTGTAGAAATCCTCGGAATTAATACATAACAAAGGCTTAGGAAAAGGTATAGAATTATCATCATCATTAAAAATATAAACACAAGGATCTAATCCTATACAAGGCCCTGTAACTCTATTATCTTTCATAGTAGTGTATAGAGCAGTCGTTCCTCCAAAAGAATGCCCAATGATAGAAACTTTACTATAATCGATATTAATTTTTGAACCGAAATACCAAATATAAGTTTTTTAATTATATATAATATCAAGCATTTACTTTGTTATAGAAAGTCTTTTTTGTAATTAATTATGTCTAAATTCCCAATTAAGTTGTCTGTCAAAGTATGGATTTTTAATTTCTTCTTCATATTCAGGACAGAACACTATAAAACCTTTACTTGCTAATTCCTTAGCGAAAGTTGTATGAATATTGCAATGGCCAGCTAATCCATGAGCTATTATTATTAAAGGAAATCGGTTTATCTTTATTTCTTTATTCTAAATATTTCTGTAATAAAGGTTTTCTTCTTTTATTATTTAGGCATTGTCATGGACACCCATTTTTATTTTATATAAGTAATTACTTTATATTTTAAAAAAAAATTGAGGGATTTTTCCAGGTCTTTCCTTGTCTTTCATGTTAGTATCATACATTCTCATCCAATAATCTTTGTATATTATCCAGTTTCTATCTTTGTTATGCTTATGGAATTAACAAGGATAATATATAGCGTATTCAATTTAATTTTACTGTTTTACATGAATATATCCTACAGGGTATTTACCTTTTGGTTTAGGAAAAGTATATACTTTTAGTTTTGGAATTGTCCATATATATAATCCTAAAGATGTTATTAATGTCCATAATGGGACTTTTATAATGTTATATTAACGTAATAAAACTAAAATTTCGTTTAATAATAGTAAAAAAAAATTTAGCACGAAGACCTTCTTTTTATTATTTACGAATTAATAAAGATATAAAACTTGCTAATTATGTAAGCTTTTAACGTATTGATATATTTTTAGAACCTTATTTTATTAATATTTAAAATAAATTTTTGATTTAAATTTAAAAAATATGTAAATTTAGTTGTTTAATTATTTATTTACCAAATTAAGTTTAAAGAATAGAAATTTAAAAAAGTTAATATGCAGATAATGAATATTCATAATAAAAATATTTGGAATAAAAATTTAGCATTATATTAAAATGATTTTTATTAATTTTTTATTTCAAAATATTTGTGATAATAAAAAAAGAAATATAAAAAATATATAATAATATATATTTTTATGTATATATAAATATATAATATTATAAATAAATAGAATATTTCATATATTAATTTATGAATTTTATTTAATTTTTACAAATAATATTTTAAAATTAAATTTTTTTTATTTTAATTAACTTTACAATGATTTGTTTTCATTTATTTTTTTTTATCTTAAACTTTCAATAGAATTCTTTTTCATCCAAATGAACTAGACAGTAAACTTTCGTTTAAATTTTTATCAAATTTTTATTCTTTATTAAAATCATAGCTATATTCTTATTCATCTTAACTATCATATAAATATGAATTATCTAATTATTTATTTTATTTTTAATTATTTATATCATTTTTAATTTTCATTTATAGTTAATATTTTTTTCTACAAATAACAAATTAAAACTAATTTTTTTTTATAGTTTTTCTATTAATTTTAAATGTTTGGAGTTATAATTAAATCTTTAACTCCTTGAATATACACACAATAATATTAACAATCAAATTAGTATTAATTTTTTTAAAAATAAAAAATAATTCCCCAAAATAATACTGTTATACCAAAAATACTATTGCAAGTTTCAAAACTTAAAAACTCAGTCATGAAACCTCCAAGCAAAGGTCCGATAAATTATCCTGAACAATAAAGTGTATTGTAATAATTATAACTTTTTTAAAATAATATAAAAAATTATTCTGAATAATTTTTTATTCATTCTAAAAAAATTTACTAATTCAAGTAACTATTATTTATATTGGTAATATTTATTATATTAGTTATTAGTAATAAAGATGGAAAATAAATCATTAAAATAGAAAAAGATAGAAATATATAAGAAGCACAAATGTAATTTAATTATATATTTTAAAATAAAAAATAATAAGGCCCTATTAAACAAAAGCATATGCCTGTAACAAATATTCCAATAAATATAACTAAATAAGAATAATTATAAATAATCTTAATTAAAGGGACAAAAACTATATATAAAATCATTCCGAAACTAAATATAATACCCATAAAAAAATAATTTGTTTAATATTTTTATTATATATATAGACTAAATGTAGCTTCTAATGACATAATTCCACAGCAAGGAATAATCATTAAAATATAAACTGTAATCAGATTTTTATTTGAATATTTTAATTTATAAATTTAATAGTTATCTTAAATTTTATCATAAAATAAATACTAACTATTTATCTCATTTTAATTTTTAATTTTTTCATTTTATTTTATTTTTAAAATCATTCTATCAGGAATTTATTTTTAAAATGTAAATAATAATAATATACATATAATTCCAAATATAATAAATGGGATTACCCAACCAAAAGCTTAAATAAGAAATCCGCTTAAAAAAGGTCCAAAAAGGAAACCCATTCCTGAAAATAACTCTAAATGCAAAAATTTTTATTTATATTCAGTTTAATACAATATAGGAATATACGAATAAAATGGAAAATTAAAAAGGGTTTATGCCTATAATTTTTTTTTATTAAAAATATTAATTTTTTTGAATATGTATATATTTTTAACTATCCCTAAAATAAACTTTGCTAATAAACTTATAGAAAAAATATATGCTTTGTCTTAAAATAAACTCAAAATAGCAAAGGAGAAAATGCCAATTATATTCAAAAAAATTCCTGCCATTTGTGATATTTTTTAATATTTTTCATCACATATTTATTTCCCTAATAAAAAATAACAGATTAAATTTCCTACAGGATGAATACTAAATATTAAACTAATACTAAATTAAGATAAACCCCATTAAAATGCATATTAAGGAAAAAAAGGAGCAATTATTGAATTTGTTGCATTTATTATGAATTAGCTTAAAAATAAAATGAAAATTATATCATACATAACTTTTTTTAAGAAAATATAAAGTAAAATAATATATTAAAAATATATAGATACATTATAATAAATTATGTAAAAATAATATAAATTTTTATTTGATTTTTTTATTGAAATTATTTAAAAAAAAAAAAAATTCGTTTGTTTTACAATATTTTTATTGTATTTTTTTTTTGTTCTTTAAAATTAAAACTATTAAATTATCTTCAAAAATATGAAAAATATATAAATGAAATTTAAAAAATTATAAAAAAAAGTTAATAAATAAAAGGCATATATCAAAAAACAAATATAAAAAATAATAATAAATAATTTAATAAATATCAAATAAAAAAAATTTAATCAAACGTGAACAGAACTTTATTATTTGGAAAAACAATTATTATTTCCAGATTAAATGGATAATGAACTTTATTATAAAGCAGACTTGCCTCTTATTAATTTCTATGAATAAGATAATTATTTTTATTACTCTATTTTAGATTAAGTTAAAAATTTAATTAAACAATTATTATCAACAAAATTTTCATTTTTAAATCTTCTACCCTCCTATAAACTTAGTAAATTTAGCATATTTTAACTAGCAAAAACAAGTGGAGTCTACCCTTTATAATTAAAATTATTTAAATTTCCCCCTCCATTAATAATAATTTTAATAATCTTTTAAATAAAAAAAAAAACTAAAAAAAAATATCTAATTTTTTTTTATAAATTACTTCCAATTTGTTTCCTTTAAAAGCTAAATGAACTGGTGTATCTCCTTTTTAATCAGGCTAATTAGGATCAGACCCTTAATCAATTAGCCATTAAATAAAATCTATATTTTGATGATGGGTAGCCCAATGTAAAGCCGTCCACCCATTTTCATCAACCGCAAAATAGAAATCTCTTTTACAAAAAACAAATCTATCAGTATTAACTTTCCAAAGTAAATTCTATTTAGCAGCATCAATAAGTTTAACATTTCTCAATTGTTTTTTTATGTGTTTTTCATTTAATTATTCAACAGTTCTCTTAAATTAATAATGGCTTAAATCGGAAGATAACTCAGGACAAAAAGTAGTTAAAGTAGTACTATAAGGATTTTAGAAAGTATTTAAAAATTAAAATTATTAATCTTCTTTAATAGAACTGCAAATATTTAAAGCAGTTTTAGGCCTAAATTATTATATGGAATCTTTTCTAATACTTTAACGAGTTTCTAAAGTATTAAAATTAATGTTTGTTTAAGTAGAAATTTAATTTATAGGCTTTTAATTATCGTCTAAACTAATAATTTCAATGTTTTTTTTGTCTTAAAGAACTTAAATTTTTATATTTTATTTACTAATGTTTCTGATTTATTCTATTTTTGCTTTATAATCATTAATTTTATCTTTTTACTTTATATCGAGAATTTCTTTTAATTTCTTTTGTTCACGATATCTTCTTATTTTTTTTATATAAGAATTATATATTTTAAATCATTTTAAGATATTTTTATTTCTTAACCATCTATAAAATTCTTTTAAAAGAGTTAAAAGTTATTTAAATTTTAAAATATAAATATATAAATATTGTAAAAAAATAAAATATATAATATATAAATATATAAATATATAAATATATAAAAATATAAATAAAAAATATATATTTATATATATATATATACATATATTTATTTTTATTATTTTACACATTAATGTTATTCTTTTGCATGTTTAGATGGTCCTCCTGAGTAAAATCTTTTAAAATTTGAATTATTTCTTAGCACTTTACTTGATTTTAGATTCAGTTTATATTTTTCCTATTGATTTTTATTTACTTTATTTTTAACTGTATCTAATTGTGAGTATTTTATTTATTCTTCTGCTGTATGTTCTTGAAAATTTCTTTCTTCTTAAGTTTTGAAAATTTTTGAAGGTGGATGGTATACATGCCTTATATAATCTTATTTAAAATTTCTAGATGATTAATTTTTAGGTTAAGATATATTATTAATGTAATTATTAAAATTTTATTATTATTTAACTTTTTGTAATTATTTATGCTTTTCTATTTAATCTTTATCTTCAATTTCATCGGCATAAAAATTAATTTATTTTATGTCTTTTATTAATTCTTCTTATGTTATTTTACCTTCAATAAAATTTACTAATTTATCAAATCCTTTTATATTTACAGGTAATTATTCTTTAAATTTACCTTCTTTTTCCATTTTATAACATATTTATGCCAACATTTTGTAATTCTTCATATGAACTTTCATATATTCATTTTTTTCATATTATTTTGCTTTTGCAATATCATATTATTTAAATTTTATATAATTTTATTTTAATTAATTAGCTATAAATTATTATCTGCTTTCTTTAACTAATATTTAAATTTCTTCATAATTCTTTAGTATATCTTCGGCTAAACCTAATTCCAACTATATATAGAAAAAAAAATGAAATATATAAATAAACACAAGATTATATATATATATATATATATAATATATTTATATTTTTTTTTTATATATATATTTTATAAATATTTTACATTTGATATAACATCCTCGTCAATTATATCAACTGCATTTTACATAAATTTTTTATCAATACAAGAATTTAGTAATTCACTTGTATTTGCTAGTAGTTTTAGTTCTTCTATTGTTAAATTTTCTCCTTCAGCGTATTTATTTAAAAGATGATCTTGTTTTTTATTTTTAATCTTATTTATATATTTATTTATATTTTTTAAAAATACCTCTTTGCATTTATTTTTTCATATTTATAATATATCTTTAAACAAATGGAAGAAATCCAACATCATTCCATGATGAAGAATTAACTTCATTATAATATAATTATTTTTTATCTAATCTATATTATTTGAATTATTTTTCTTTTTTATTATCCCAAAAATTCTCTTTTCCTCCTGTATTTTATTCATTTTATTTTTTATTATTATCAGGAAAAAATTATGATTCTTGTTATTTTTTCTAAATTTACTAAAATCCATTCGAATCTTTAACTTAATAAGATAATCTTCCATCATTCACTTTATCGTTTTAGTTATTTGATAAGCCTAATCTGGATAAAAATTATTAAGTTCGAGGATTACCATAAGTACTCATATTTTAAAAAATATCTTTTGTTGATTTTAAAGGAGCATTTTTCATTTAAAACTTTACATGAGTCGCCTAAGTCTTTTTTCCTAATTTTTTCAAATCTTATCTTTCTTTTAGTTTTTATAATACTAATATTAAATTTTCATACTAAATATTTTATTTTTTAAATAAATTAAATTATTAAAAATATTTTTTTTATTGACATCATTAAGTTTTTCAATAACAATAGCATTTAATCTTTTTCTTAAACTTTCATATTTTGTTTTAACTTTTAGCCATGGAAAATAATCATCTTTTTATTTTTGATGACTTTTACTATTTTCTTTTTTTTCTTGTTCATATTATTTTCTTTCTTTTAATTCTAATCTTTCTCTAAAATTGTTTATTAAATTATTTATTGTTTTTTCCATACAACTTTATACATATTGATTTTTCTCTGCTTAAGTTTTAAATGAAGATAAAATTAATAATTGAATATCAAAAGCTTTCAAAACACTATTTTTTTTTTTTATAAATTTAAAAAATACTTTAATTTAACTTAGATGAAATTGAAGCATCATTATCGGTATTAATTTATATATTATATAATTTTTCAACTGTTTTTATTATTAGAGATTAAAATACTGTCGCTATTAAAGCATTTCCGAACATTTTTACTACTGAGCATTCGTTTTTTATATTATTTTATAATTATTATTTAAACTTGTCATCAATTAAATTTTAAAAACAGTTTTCTTTTTTCTCGCTTTTATTTAATAATATTAAAGTTCTCTTCTTTTCTGTAAATCTTAAAGGTGAATTTTATACTTATTGTTAAAAAAAATCTTTTTGGGTTTCTTCTTGTAATTATTCTCTGTATTTGCTACAGTATTCTTATAGTTTATCGTCGATTTCTTATACTGTTGATAATTCTATTTAAGGGTTAGATGGTTATATTTTTTTAACCTTTCATATGTTTTCATGCTTTTATATTTAATCATTATTTATATATTTTTTGTTATTAATTTTTTTTTTTTTTTTAATTGTTAATGATAAAAAAGAAAAATGTTATAACTTTTTCTTTTTGCAATAAAAATAAAATATAAATAAAAATTAAATTAAAAATAAAAAATATATTAATGTGATACAAAACATAAATTAAATATTATATTTTTACAAAAAAGAATAAAAAAATATTTCGTATTATATTTAATTTAAATATATGGAAAAAATATAAATTTATTGATTATTATTTAATTTAGTTTAAAAAATAAATTATTTTCTCTCAATATCAAATTATATTTATGTATTTAATTTTTTTTTTTTTTTAAATATTTTAACATATAATAGAAGAAATTAATTAATTATAATTAAGTAAAAAAAAAAAAAATATATATTATTTATAATTAATTTTTTTTTTTGTAATAATATAAAAATAAAATATTTTTAAGATATCAAATAAAAAATGTCAAAACAAGGTAAAAAAAGTAAAATAATTTATAAATAATAAACATTTAAATAAAAATAAGTTGATAATAATGATATTAAAAATTGCATAAATGAGATTTTCGATGAAAACGACGACAATTAAAACGAATAAGAAGATCAAAATAATAATTAAGGTTTTTAATTTTATAAAAATAATAATTTAATTTTATTTAAACAAAAATTAATAGAATAATCTTATTCCTAAAGTTTTTAAAATGATGAAGATGACTTTTATAATTCAAATGAATTTAACGAAGAAGATGAATAAAATAAATAAAATTAAGGATAAGAAGATGATGATGAATAAATTTATACTTCAAATGGTGATGATTAAAGTTTGAATAATTCATTAAAAGAAGATGATATCAAAAAAAGCGAAAATTATAAAAATCCATAAAAATATTAAAGATAACCAAATTAAAGGGATAATCAAAAATAAAAAGAATCAGATAAAAATGATAGAAGAAATAGAAAAGAACACAGGTATATTTATTTATTTTTAAAAGAAAAAATAATTATAATTATAAAAACCTATTATTAAGAAAAAAATAAATATAATTTTATATATAATTATTTTGATTTTCCTTATAATAATTTTTAAAAATATTTTTTACTATTTCAAAAAATCTATTTATATTAAATATTTAAAATAAGATAATATAGTAGATCTAAATCAGCATCCAGATCTAGATCTAGAAGTTATTCTAAAAATCAAGAACGTTATCATGAAAATGTAAAAAAAAAAATTATTATATTAATCTTCAATTAAAAATAAATATATAAGTGTTGTAACAAATGCAAAAAAAATGATAAAGGAGGTAAAACATGTATATGTATAGTTCCAAAAGATTCAAGATTTAGTAGTTTAGGAGCAACAGGATGTTAAACATGCGGATGTAAAGGATGCTCAAGGGATGATTTTTACAATTAAAGGAGAAAAACAAGCGAATAAAATTACCATTAATAAAAACCTTAAAAGGATTTTTAAATGAAAAACGGATGCTGTAAATTATGTTTGAAGGCATTCTCTTAAAGTGGTCGTGTAAATAAAAAAAATAATCAATAAATTTTATTTATTTTTTGTTAAAAAAAAAAAAAAGGCATGTATATGTCAGGTACCAGAAAAAGTGAGAAAAACATAACTACCGAAAAATGGATGCAAATTTTGTGGCTGTTAGGGTTAAAAACTTATTATAAAAATTTACTAATATAGGTTATATTAACAATCTTTTTTTATAAAAAAAAACAAAAAAAAAATATATTACAGGATGCAATCCTGAAGATGTTAAAAGACATTCGTTAGAAAGATAATATAAAAGAAATAATACATCAACAAATTCAAACAATTACAATAGTTAAAATAATAGAGAAAGGAATAGAAAAAGATCTAATTCACCAGATGATGATAATGATTTTAATAATATTGATAGATCAAGTAGATATTTTTTATTTTTTATTTTTTAACTTTTATAGATATTGGATAAATTATTTTAAATGATTTAAAAATGTATCCACCTGTAATTGGATTCGGAATACCTTAGAGAACTCATTCATATATATATGGTAAAGTTTAGGATAAAAAATGATTATTATGATTAATTATTTAAAAATAAATAAATTATTATTAATAATTTATATATTTTAATAAAAGTTTATATAAAATTTAGAAAAAGTAATAACAATCAGAATATATAAATTTAAAATTAAAATATTTTTTTTTTTTTCATAAAATTATTAGAAATAATAAATTCATTATAAAAAACTAAACTTATATTTTTTTTAGTTAAACATTTATTAATTTTTTTACTTCAGCTTATGAATTATTTTGATAAATATATTTCTTAAATTTTAATTAAATATTTATTCAAATTTTAAATAATACTTAATACTTGAGTAATTTTTTTAATAAATCTTATTTATTTGTTTTTTCGGTTTTTACCCTTAATTAATTATTCATTTTTTCCCCATATTAATTATTTAAAGACGAAAAGATTATCTAACAAATTAAGTGATTTTTTTTTGTAAAATTACCCAATTAGTGATAATACATATTTCGATTAATATATGGTTATATGCTTCACATATTTTATTAAATAATTAATGATATAGATGAAAGAAAATATTATCAATCTTATATATTGCAATTTAATAAATATGAAGAAATAATCTAAAAAAATTCTATATTTTTAAATCTTAATCTTTTAACGTTAATCAAATGATAAAAACTATCAAAAATAAGTATTAATTAATTTGAGTTTTTAAAATATTAAAATATGTATTAACTAAAATCCTAACTTAAAATTGGCTCCATTAAGATTTTTAAATTATGATTAAATTTTTTGAAGTAATTTTAAATTTAAGAAATATATTCCATCATTAAATATATAAATAAGCATTAATTATAGTATACTTTTTATTTTAAATTAATTTTATTTTTTGCTATTTCTTCAACTCAATAAATATTAACTGAATTTTTTCGAACTTATTATGCATTTTTATTATGTCACTTTTTCCACATGAAATTATAAGAAAAATCAAGATTTTAATTATTTATCAATTAATTCTCCAGTTTTCATACTTATTTTTTTTTATTTTAATATTTTATATATTTAAATTTAGTTTTATCAATTCATTTGATAATATTAATTAAAGCGTATTACCTAAATTTATTAGGAAGTATTTTTTCTTTAATTCATTAGAAAGTATTTTTTCTTTAATTTTATCACATAAAATTATAGTTTATAAAAATATGTTTGCATATTTTAAAAGGCATTATTAGAGGAATTATACATATGTATAGAACTTATTTTAATTTTAGGAGTAATTATATTATTTAAAATTTCGTATATAAATTATTGTATTTAATATTATTCTATATAATGTAAATAATTATACTTTGAATTATAACGCTTTTAATTTAATGAAAAACATATTATATTTGACATTTTATTTATTTCTGAAAAGCAATAAGTATATTTTAATTTATTAAACAAACAAAATGCTTTTCGAAAAAATATAAATGAATAAAACATTAATTTATATGAATATTATAATATGATTTTTTTAATTTTACATTTCCTTATTTTATTATTTAAATAAACATATATTTATTTTTGTTTAAGTTTGATATGGCTAACATTAACATTAATATTTCTATTTTTCGAAATTCTTTTTCAAGATAACCCCCCCCCCCTTCTAATTATTTTTCAGAAAAGGTTTGTATCAAAGGTTAATCACATTATTTTAGTATTATTCAATTTTAATTTTAATATTGATAAGTAAATAATAAAACTTAGTATTATTAATTATTAAATTAAAATTAATTTTTCATTTTTTAAAAATATATAATTTTATAGGCTTGTGATTATTTAAATATCTTAAAGATTTTGTTTTAAAAAAAGAAATGAAAAAATTAACAGAATTTTTATTAATAAAAATTAAGATATATATTTACTACTATATATTATATAAAATATATTTTTTACTTTAAATTATGATACCTATTATTATTATTATTACTTATTTATAAAGTAATAATTTTTATAATAAAGTATATTTAATTTTTTTTTTTTTTCAATATTAAAAATTAATAAACAATTATAAAAGCCAACTTCCTATAATCTATGTTTTCATAAAAATTAATTTATCTACTTATAAACATTCGCCTCAAACGTTTTGGGATCAATAATAAAATAAACTTAAGTATCTTCACTACCACAAATAACATATTTATTATCTAAAGAATTACACCAGCAAATCATATTTGGAAAGTATTTAGGTTTTTCTAATTTACGAATATTTTTAAGGTAAGGCAATTCTAAAATTTATATATGTTGTTTACTATAATTAACATATACCTATTTTTTAAAAAAATATAAATATATATTTTTTTTTTATATTTTTATAAATAAATTAAATTTTTACAAAATATTCCATTTATTAAGAATCTTTAATAATTTTAGGATTTAAAATAATCATAGAATCTTCTTTAAAGGAAGCTAAAAATTATCCATTGATACTATATGAATAAAAAGTACAATCTCTTTATGAAAAGAAAATAATAGAATACAAAGGACAAATTGATATTTCGACTTTATTAATTGGATAATATTTTGGGTGATTATATTATCTCAAAAACTAATAACTTTGGTAATTATATAAATTAATAGTTCCATCTAAACTGCTTGTTGCAAAACTTATCATATCTTCACAAATATTTATATCTGTAATTTCCTCAAAATGATCATAATAATGATAAATTTCATTAAATGATTAATAGTCAGGGCTTACTTTTATTATACAGACATCTCCATTTTTAGAACCTGTGATTAGAATTTAATATCGATTTTCAAAGTTCATTGCTGTTACAGTTTCAAAATGAAATTCTTTAAAATCTTATGTTATTTTCTCACTTTCTACATTATATAAATTTAAATGACCGTCCCATAGTCCTCCAGTTAAAATAAGCTATTTTTTTGTTAAATAAAATGTTAAGTATGTTTAATGTTTTATATAAAAATAAATATTTTTATTTTTGTTTAAACTTTTCCTTAATTCAAAAATAAAAAAGGAGGAATTTAAAAGGAACATGATTCATCAAGACAAAACACATTATATAATTTTTCATTTTTTAAATAATCGAGTTATATTTCTCTATCACTTATTGTATTAACTTTAAATGGATAATCTCTTGGATCTTAAGAAGTTAAAAGTCTTTTTTTTTAAATAAAATAAAGTAAAATGAAAATAAATAAAAAAAAATACTTAATGATACTAACTTCTCCATTTTTTCTTAAAGCCAATACCTTATCTTCATCCATATATTTTAACGAAACAATAGTTCTATCTTTTAAAGAATTAAAATAAAAATCTTTTAATTACAAATTCTATCCTTCATTACTTTTTTAGTTTTTACAAACCGATCTAAAAAACTACAAAGAGGTACTTAATTCAGTAAATGTTAAAAGCATTTTAGTTTAATTAAGAATTCTTTAGACATGTTAAACCTAGAAAATTTAAGAAGGAGTTTATCCAAAATTAATAATTTAACTTTCAATTCCAATTTTATAATTTTCATCCTTAATACTATCAATATCAATAGCATCTTCGTAAGTAAGATAATAAAATTTATTAAGATTATTCTCTGCTTCTTTTCCTTTTTATTTGTACCCGAAAATCAAATCAATCCATTAATTTATATTCTTCGAAACTAATTCATTTTCTAATCCTTTTCTATGCCAGACTACGAATTTAAAAGGGTCTTATCCACACCAAGGAGGTAAAGAAACATTATGAACTCTTTCTTTAGTTTATTATAATCCGAAATCATTTGCATCTAAATTTAAAAAAAGTTCTGGTAAAAAGAAAAACTCAGGTAATAATTCTCTCACATCAGATGTTTCTTCAGTAGCGTTTTTGTAAGTTTCTTTCATAGAAAAAAAAAGTCTATCTGCAATATCAAATTTACCGTTTTATAGAATCCATGCACCATCAGTATATGGCTTTATTCTTAATAAATACTAATAAATTATAGCTGGGGAACTATAATGTGTGCCAAAATGATAAGGAGGGATATCTTATATTCCACTTTCGTATTTAAATATGAATTATTTAATTCTTTCTTCTGTCCCTAATGCTCCCATAGACTTAGATAGGTCTCTATATAGAGTTTATTCTGATAGATTTAATTCTTTATTATCATATTTTTGAAAAATCCAAGGAAATACAGGATATTAAGTTAAGTCTTTAAAAGAACGACCAGAAAGGAAATTCAAAAGCATTAAATATTATAAATTGGAGTATTTACAATTAACCCATTCTTTAAAATGTTTCATTTTTTCAATGTTTTTTGTTTTCTATTCTTATATTTTGGAAAAAAAAGATATTTTTTCAACAACAGAATCTGAAATTTCTTTATCTGGAAAATTTAGTAATAATTAAGATCCATCTATAAAAAAAAATTCAACAGCAGATTTTCTTAGTACATATCTCCTTCTTAATATTTTCTTAATATAATTTATTTACCAAACTTTTAATAACATTCTATAGTCAGGAATTGTGTGATTTTATATACATAAATGGGATTCTTTTTCGATAATATTCTCAAAATAAAATGTTAAATAATTTTAGTCAAGTTTTATAGTACCGTTTCTTATTGTTAAGGATTTTATCCATTAACATTTGTAAAAAAAAATGTTAGAGTTACAAATACCATTATTAATATTATTATAAATATTAATACTATTATTATAAATATTATTATTATTATTATTATTATTATTATTATTATTATTGTTATTTTATTTATTATTTTAGAAATAAAAATCATCTTTTTAATATTGTTATTATTGTTATATTACCTTCTAGTTTATACCTGTGTATATCTATTTTAATTGTTTTATTATTGAAAATCTTTAAAATTATTTCTTTTTTATATTCCCTTATTGTTATAATGGAGTTAGTTAATCCTTATATAGTTGCTGCTCGCATTATTAATATTCAATTTATTCTTAGAGAAGAGTCAACTTTTTTCTTTACATTTATGCATTATTTTTATTATTATTCTTCTAAAATTCTTTTTCTATTAATTTTATTTTTAATAACGGCCTTATTCCTGATTTGGTTTAATATTTGGACATTTTATAATAAAACAATTTTTTTTAATTCAACTTTTCATAAGTAAAATCCTATATAAAAAAATGTTTTTTTACTTTATATATTTTGTTTCAAAAAAAATATATAGTTTACTTTTATATCAAAAATGTTATCATTTTAAGCTTTGAATTTTTCATTTTTCCAAAATCCTCCAAAAATTCTTTATTTTTTCCAAATTTTGTGCCATTGATTTTTTGCAAATCTAATAGTTTATTCTTATTTATCATTTGTGAATAATTTTTTTTCGTAAATTAATATATTTTTTTATATTTCATATTATTCTATTTCGTATTTTTATCGAGTTATTTTTTTAATAGCTTTATTTTTTTATTTATCTTATTTCAAATTTAAAATTAATTTGTTCTTATATTATTAAAAAAAATCATTATTTATAGTACTTTCATTAATTTCGTTATTTTTTTGAATTTTCTCAAAACAATTTACAAATCGTTCACTTAAAATTATTTCTTGTAAAAATTATTTATTAGTATTATTTTTGGAAATATTAGTTATTATTTCTTAATTTAGAAGATTTTTGTTTTCCTCATCTTAAAGAATAGAGCAAAAAATATTAGTAATTAATAAATTTTCTAAATTTTTTTCAATTACCTTTATTATAATGGAAAATATGTTTACCAATATTTCCTATATTTATATGTTTTTGGACATTTTTTCGTTTAGGAAGTAAATATAGGAAATCGAGTTTATTATAAAATCGCTTGCCCTTTATATTTCATTTATACTTTTTATATTATGAGCACATATTATACATGAAATAATTAAATTTTATAAGAAAGTTAAATTTTCATTAAATTTCACATTAATTCCTTCTTTTAAATTAAATTCTATTAAAAAAGCAGTTAAAAGGTATATTTTTTAAACAAAGAAGAGATTTTCGGATTATTTAAAAAATAAAAATTTACATAAATTTTAGTTTTGTAATTAAAATTGGATTTAGATTAGTTTTTCACTTTCATGAAATTACTTTTGGAATAAATGTGTGTAAAGATTAATTATTTTTTAAATTACAGGAGTGTCTATCCATACATTAAATCCATAAAAAGCTTTATAAGGTTTAGGAAAATCCTTTTCTTTTGAAACTAAAGTTATAAAATTTTAAAAAAGGAAAAAATTAAAAGTTTTAATTATGTTATCCGTCATAATTTAGAGTAGAATTATTATTATTTTTATTAAAAACAAAAAAGAAAATATAATTAATTAAAATTCTAATATTATTTTATAATAAAGAAACAGATATTTCAGAAATTTATTTTATATCATCTTTTATACTATCTAAACAATAAATAGAAAGCAATCTTTGCAAAAAAATAAATGATACATTTTAATTAGCTAATATTTTTTGCTAAGTTTCACAATTAATTTCTTCATTTATTTTCTCTAAATGAACTATGTATTAAATTGTTTTGTTCTCCACTTAGTTCATTCCAAATTTTAGCAAAATAGATAGTATTTTTGTACCGAAATTCCATGTATTTTCCATATTCTGATTTTGGCTTTCTTCATTTTAAATTATTTAATATAATAGATCCAATAGCCAATTATTAAATTCTATATTTTGTAACATTATAAGTTTATTTTTGGCGTTCCATTTAATAAGTAAATACATGTCTGTTAAAATTATATTTTAAATTAATTAATCACACATATTATAAACATCAACAAGTAACTAAAAAACACTTTTGAATTAAATAGTATCTTTTTCGTCTATAATGACTAGTTCTTTTAATTTGTTTGTTAAATCTCTATTAAGCATCCATTCCATAATTACAGTATAGAGAGGAATAAAATTGATTTTTTTAGAATTTTCGAAAAAAGAAATTTCCACTTAATCTGTCTTTTCATTTTAGTTTTAATCCGAATTTTCGTCTATTTTTTAACCATTTTTATTTGAAAGAATTAATTATTAGGATTTATATTTAGTTTAAATTTCTAATATATCTTTTTAATCTATTATTACGAAATCATTTTGCTTTGTTGTAAATGGTAAGTTTTATAAAGCAAAATATATTAAAAGAGATATACTTTAGTCATATTCTATATCTTGAATATATTTTATGTCATTCTTTATTATGTATTCACTTCTTGATATCAAACTTAGTACTTTTATACATAGTGCTTTTATAACTTATTTTTTTAATTTTAATTTTTTGTGGAGGTGGGGAAATAAAATATTACTTTAACAATCTTATTTTTATAATAAGTATATTATGTAGTTTACTCCATTATTTTACATAAATATTTAAATAAATATGAAATTCTACTCATCTTCATTTATTAAAATATTCTTTTAATTTTAATAATATTTTTAAAATAATTTTTAAGATTAATTTATTTTTACAGTTATTTTTTTTAAGATTTAAATATAAAAACATGGAGAATAGTCATTAACAAAAGATTTAATTAAAAGAAAAAAATCATTTACAGTATCATCTTTTTCTTTACTATATATTAGTAACTTTTCAATTAAATGTAAAATATATTTTAGTTTTTTATTATAATCTTTAATTAAAAATTCATAATTTTTTTCAATATAAGAATGTTATTAGCAGCAGATTTATATTTTTCCTTCAAATTTCGAAGACTTTTTTTAAATAAAATAAAAAATATTTATTAATATAATTATTATTAGTTAGATATATTAAAAAAATTAAAATATTTTACAATATATTCTAAAATATCTTATATTCCAAATAGTTTAATATTATGTTTGAAGTTCTCAATATATATATTATATATATAATCAAAATAAGATTAAAAAGTTTAAATATTTTCTATATTAATAATATTTGTGTTCATTAAAAATTAAACAAAATACTATAAAATTTAAATAAATAATATTAATTATTAAAAAAAAAAATAATACATCATCTTTTAATTATTTATCAAATATATTTATTCTAATTTCCATCATTTTCTCAACAATTTAATTATTTAAAATATTTATATTACTATCATTAATAAATTAAGATATAATAATAAAAAAATTCATTTCTTTCATTTCTTTTTAATAGTTCTTCATTAATAAATCCACAAGATTTAAAAGTTCATTCAAAAACTCAATTTAATTATCACAAAATTACAAATAATAATAAAAAGGTAATATATTATTCAATTAAATACTTTTTTTTCTATAATCACGGACTAAAAATCCTGTATTTTCGCAAAAAGAAGCTTATTTTTTAGAAACAATATCATAAGCAATTTTTTAGCTTGCTCTTATTGGTGTAAAAAGTATTTGAAATTTTTTAATTTATTAATTTTTTAGAATATTCAAAAATTATTCCAGATCTTAATTATTCTCTATTCCGAATTTCAAATTATTAAAAATTTCCATAAATTAAATAAATCTAAAAAAAACAAAGAATAAATTATATATTTTTATTAAATATTACGTTATATTTTCTTGGCTACCAAACATAAGAATAGTTGAAACTCTTCCAAGTAAATTTTTGAAAAAACACATTTTTTATAAATAACTTTCAGATTTAATTTTTGGAAAATCAATATTTATATTTTAAATTATATCTTCATTTAAATATATACTAATGTGATATTTATCTTAAAGCATTCCTTTTGTATGTAATAATTAAATTCCGAGTTTATTCCATGTATTAAAAGGAATTTTTATTAAGGATATAGGATCTTTCTTTTCACATCTGTAATTTAATTTTCCATCTTCTCCTATATAAAATTCAAAGTCTTTATTTTCAGCTTATGCAGAAAAAATAGATTAATGCTTTTTAGGACCAGATTCATGTAAAAAAACAAAAAAACAAAATAATTCCCTATTTATTAATAAAAATTTTATAAGAAAAATTAATAATTTTATACAAAACTTTTTTATTGATTTTTTTTTATTTATAAAAAAACTTAAATCAAAAAAAAAAAAATAAAAAGTTTTTTAATCTTTTTTTTTTTTTTTACTTGATTTAGTTTTTTTTTTATTAAAAAAAATCAAATAAAAGCTATATATATATTTATTTTTTTTATTAAAAAATTATTTTTTTTGTCAATTTAAATAAAAAAAAACTAATTCTTTTTTTATTTTTTTTAAAAAAAAAAAATAAAATAATATAATTTACATAATATAAATATAACTTTACTAAAAAACCATTTGATATGGTTTGCATTTATAATATCTAATCCACTTCTCAATCCATTAAAATAAAAATAATTATTAGGCTCATTTTAACTACTCCAAATTTAATATCCTAATATATCTCTAAGGATACATACTGAATTTATAGCTTTTTCAAACTTTAATTAGTTTGTTTGAAAGTCTATAGCATTCTGTCTAATCATATTATAAATATTATATTTAGAAATATAATTGTATTTTAAAAGAATTGAAATGAATGTATTATATGATTTTTTCAATTCCTTATCATCAGTATTAAGGTATTCACTTATAGTATAATCTAATATATTTTTCGGTGGATATTCTTAGCTTTTAATGCTTTTCTATACTAATAATACTGCATTTGTTTAAATAGACATTAAAATATAAGATAGTTTTTGTAAGAATAAGATCTTTTTTATATTTTATATATTATTAAGTATATTTATTACTTTTTATTTTGGATTTTATATAGATTTTAATTGCTCAAATAAGTAATATACTTGCTGAGGATTTATTATTATATTACTAATTTAGTAATGCTTATGTATGGCTTTCGATTTTACATCATAAAATAAATATGATAGTAATTCATCTATTTATTATTACTCTTATATATTTTGCATTTTGTCTAAATTGTAATGTGAATGCTTTTGTATTATATTTTTTATTTTTTTTAGAAATATTTTTATTTTATTTTTATTTAAATTTATTAAAAAATAGTTTTTTATTTATAGGCGAAATTTTTTTATAATATTTTTATTTATGATTATTCAATATTTATTTTTTTTTAAGTGCAAAATAAAATTAAATTAAAATATTTCTATTAATAATATAAGAACTAAATTGTTTCATTTTTATTAAAATAATAATAAAAAAAGTAATATTATATACTTATAGAAAATATAAAAAAAAAAAATTATAATAAATTTTATAAATTAAAAATAAATAAAATTTAACCATATGGTATATTTGTATAAAATTAATTTTTTTTTAAAAAAATATGAAAATTGCAATTAACATGATTTTAGGCTTTTAAATATATACATCTATTAAAATTTATAAAAATATATATTAATATTTTTGTCTGTAACATAGCTTTTCCTATAAATAAAATTTAAATATTTCATTTTTAAATCAGTTGCACATAACAATATATTTTTCCATTTTTCGCAAAATTTTTATATAATTTATCATAGTATGAAACATAAATAAGTCTTTCACAACCCAAAATAAAATCTACAGGACTTTTAAAAAATACAACTACTTAATCTTCTTCAATATCCTGGCCTACACATTCAATTCCATCACAAAGATAATCAAAAAAACTTTTAAAAGAATACAAATTGGAAATATTTTGGATTATAACTTTAAAGTTATCTGATAGTCCATATCTAATATCTTAAGAATTATAAAAAGTGAACCTTTTACCAATAATTTTTCTCAAATAATTTAAATTGAGTAGAATTTTATTGATATTTTTAACAGAAAGGAAAATATTGAAATCCAATTATAAAAAATTAAAATCTGATTTATCTTCTAGTTTTTCATTTAGAAATTCTTTGAAATTTGCGAATTAATTTTTATCAATATTTTCAAAAATAATTAAATTTTAAATTTCAGAATTTTTTTCAAAATAAGTTTTATTCATAAAAACAATTCTCAATAAAAATTCTCCTAAAAATTAAATTATTTTTTCATTTTAATTTTTTAATATTTCATCTACCAAAATCAAATCTTCCTTATATAAAATATATATAAATACACTCCCATAATGTAAAACATAATTAAATTATATATTCCTCTTAGTAAATATTTCCTTCATAAAAAAACTAAACTTTCTGCACATTCATTACATTTTATTAACGAAAAATTTATTCGATTATAAATTTCAAATTAATATTCATTTTTAATCTCGTATTAATATTCGTTTTTTGTTTTTCTCTTAATTCTTCTAAGTGTTCTTTTTCCATTTAAGACATCATATTACTTTGTGTTAATCCATCAATATCTGGATGTGTACATTTATGTTTTTCTATTATTTATTATCTTTAATTTTATGCTCTATTTATTATTTCTTGCTTTATTTATTCGCTTCTTAATGTTATACATGATGAAAGTCTCCTAAAAGCGCTTATTGTTTCGGTCATTTCACTACTATATGTATATATTTAATCAGTTCTTCCTTACTAAACTAAAATTCGTGCCACATATAAATTATTTTTCCAACCTTCTGAGCCTTTAATTGGAATGAAATCAACTTAAATTTCATCATTTATTACAGGATTTATAAATGAAATTATTTTATCATCTAACTATTATTTATTTTTTATTGTACAAAAAATATTAATATATGCGCATATATACTAAAAATTACATATTTAGTAAATTCTTCTCTTTATTTTAAAAATAATTTAATGCCAATAACTTTATATGTTAAGTCAGTAATTCCTATTAAAATAGCTCCTCCATTAGTATTTAAAAAACTCAAAATTTCAATAGCTAGTTTTCTAGTTATTTAAGGACTAACTATTGGCCATGAATATTATTTATAGTCTATTGTATTTGATTCACTTGTTTGCAATATTTCGTGATAATAATAAAATGAACGACAGCATTCTCGTTTTATATTTTATGTTTTTTCAGCTTATGTACTTAATTCATATTCAATTTCTGCGTCTGATAATTCACCATCTTCCATTTTTTATATTTTATTATTTTTAGTGTTTAATTTATTTATAGATAATATTTATTTTTTATAATATGAATTAATTTTTGTATAAAATTAATGTGCAAAATTATTTTTATTTATAAAATGAACATAATTTAATTATAGATTTAAAATTTTATTATAAAAATATTAATTAAATAAATATAAAATATTAAAAATAAGATAAAAAAATAAGTATCTAATATTAAAAGAATAGTTAGTATATAATTATAAATATATATATATATATATATATATATATATATATATATATATATATATATATATATATTTATTAAAAAATAAGTATATAAAATATATATTTTATCAAATAATTTGCATTAATAAGAGAAATATTTATTTAATTTTTAAATTAAAAATAATATAAAATTTAACAATAATTGAAACAAAATAATACTATTATAAAATAATATTTATATTATTAAAATAAAATAATAAATATATTATAATTAATAATTTATAAATTATTATTTTTATTACATTTATAAAAATTATTATTATTATTATTATAATAATAATAATTATTATTATTATTATTATTATTATTATATTAATTTTTATTATTATTATTATTATTTTATTATTTTATTATATTATTAGTATTACTAATATTTATATTATTTTTTATTATATAATTATATATCATTTTTATATTAGATTTTATTTTATTTTAATTTTTTAATCTTTAATATTTTACCTATAAAAACAAATATTTTTTTTTTTTACATTCATATTTATTATTTATTTATCATTATATAATTATACAATTTTTTTTATTTAATTTATTTTTAATTTAATAATAAATATATTTAAACATTAGTTATCATACTATTATTATAATATATTCTTATTTAATTAATTTTATTTTTTTGTTTATATTTTATCTAATTTTTTTTTAATATATTCAGGCAAATTTAAGTTTATTATTTATAAGATTAATAATGCTATTTTCAATTTATATATATGTCCTTAATATTTAAGATTTTTTTTTTTTTTAATTTTATAAATATTATTTTATACTTTATTATATAATGATTTCATTTATCATTAAATTCTATAATCTATTTAAATAAAAACATTTTTTTTATTACTTTATTAAATATAAATTATATAAATAATCGTTTATTATATAAAAATAAATTGGATAAGATTATATTAATATGTTTTTATATATAGAAATATTTGCATATTTTTTGATATTTAAATAAATTATTCTAATATATATTCTTATTATTTAAGTAAATAATAAGTATTTAATTTTATTTAATTAATAATATTTAAAATAAATAAATATATATAAAAGCAAATCAAACATATATATTATCAAAATTATTTATAAATACTTAAAAATATATAGTCTATATTTTAATTAATTATGTTTTCCAACATTTTTTAATTTTTTTTTTTTAATTAAATTATGATATTAATACTAGCTTTTAATTTCATTATACTTATCATTCCAATAATCTTATATTTAATGAAAAAGAATAAGTTTATTTTTCTTTTAAAGAAGTTTTAATTTTATATTTAAAATTATTATATAAATATACTTTATCGGAATTTATTTTTAAATAATCTCTATTATTAATTATTTTCTTATTAAATTTATTCTGAAATTCATTCAATTTTTAAAATTTATAAAGATATTTCTATATTTATTAATTTTTATTGATATAATTCTAGTTGATAACTTTTAAATTTGTTTATTTTTTATTTAATTTCTTTATTACTAATTAATTTGAATTATTTTTATTTTCTGATTAATACTCAAATTGTTATCAAAATTAATATGAATTTCAAATTATTAATATCAAAAAGGATACTTTATATTTTTAAGGAGATTAAATTTTTAGATTTTCATTTTCTTACTTAATACAAAATGTTTATAAAAATAAAATAAATTATTTTTTCTTTATTATGATAAAAATATAAATATCATTTATTAGTTTAATATTTTTTTTTGATTTATAAATACAGATATATTAAATAATAAATCTTATAATAATAATATTATATGTTTTATTTATTAGTTTTTGTTTTAATTACTTTTTCTTTAAAAAAAAAAAAATTATTGCATTACTTATTTTTATATTTACCAAAAAAAGCTATAAATTTCATTATGAATATATAATTAATTATATTTCAAACTTGTTTATTATGCTTATATCATTAATTAAATTCTGAAGTCGTTTGTGCTTTTAACCTAAATAAACTACAATTATTTATATCAGTTATTTTCTTATCATTATATTTATTAATTTCAAAATGATTTCTTTTTTTTAATCAACACTTCTTCTTTTTTTTTCCTCTTGAGTATTTAGATATAAGATTATTTTGATATAGGAGAGTTTAGATTTTTTGATGAAAATTAGAATCTTATTTTATCAAAAATTTTTATTTTTTATTAATCTAAAATACTTCTTTCATCATCCCTTATTTTATTTTCTATTTTATACTTATTTGGAGTTTGAATATCTATTTAATTTTCCATAGAAATTTAATCTAATAATGTACTAATATTAATATCACTATTTTTTTCAATTTATGCGCTTATCCATTTTAATAAATACCTATAATATTTATCATCTTTATATTTCTACTCAAAAATTAATTGAATTTCTTAGAAATATTTAGGTTTATTAAAAATACATTTTTTATTCAAAATCGAACTAATATATTCTAATTATTAATTTTATACAAATTCAATTAATTTTTATTAAACATTTCTTACATCATAAACTTAGTTCAAATACATTAAAAAAGGAATTAATTAGAATAATTCTTAATCTTCTATATCATCAAAAAATGAGTCTATTAAAATCGCATTTTCTTTTTAGAATAGAAATGAACATTCAGAATTCTTTTTATAGGTTTTTTTTTTAATTATATATTTAAAATATATCATAATATTACTTTTTGGCATGACTTAATTTATCTGTAAATTTTTTCAAAAAACTCAATTTAAAAAAAAATAAAAATATAATCCATTTTTTTTTTTTGTAGATTGAGTTTTTTAAAAAATATACAGAAAAAAGCATGACAAAAAGTAAATAATATTTATTAAAGCAATATAATTAGTTTTTTTTATATTATATAAAATATTTAAATTCTTTATTATTTATATAAATATATTAAATTTATAATTTAAATTATCTATTTTAATTTATAAATAAAATAATTATTTTTTTAACATTTGTTTTTTATTACATCAATTATAATTATGTCCTTTAAATCTCTTTTTAATTTTGATAAATCTTTAACAAAAATACCATTATGAAATGTACAATTTTCTCTAAAAATTCTAGATGCGACAACTTTATTTTTATCAATTTAATCAATAACAGGATTTGCATACTTTTTTTTAAAAAAATATATATATAATAGATAATATTATTTAATGTATAAAATACTTCTCCCAGACTTGCAGTAAATATAATTATTTCATAATATTGACTTAAAATTTCTAAGAATAATTCACACCCTGGTCTTTTCTTAACATAAATATCAAATTTAATATTTTAAATATTAATCTATTTTTATTATATATAATATTTTTTGAAAAAAATAAAAATATTTAAAATTAAAAAATTTTAAATAATTATATAGTAGTATATATTTGATTTTTGTAATTTAGTTATTTTATTTTTCCTCTTAATAATATAAATTATAAACAAATTTTTTTATATAATAATATTATATATATATATATCTATTTATTTTACAGTCAAAGTAAAATCATAATCTTCTACTTCTTTAAAATAACAATGAACTAAAGTTTCATCCAAGTCAATAACAAGAGTTTTTAGGTCCTTTTTATTTATAAAAATTAAATTATTTTTCAAATCATAAGTTTATTTTGCCTATTTTTTTTTTTTTTTAATAGACTTTAAATTTAGATTATTTTGGTTTTATTTATTAAGGATTTTTTAAACTGCTTTCCTTTCCATTTTAATAAATTTTCTTTTAATTTGCTTTACCATTAGTGCTTTATATAAAACAACTGCATATAAAATCTAAGAAGCCAAATTATATAGTACTTGTATTTTATGTATTTGTCACCTATACTTATTTATTAGTTTAATTTTAATCACTTTTTTATATATAATTATAATCAATATAATTTTATTAATTTATTATATTTAATATTAATTATTTTAATGTTTAAATAAATGGATAATAAAAAAAAATATTACTTTTAATTTGCTTATGTAATAAACGAACTTAACATTTTTTATTTTTCTTATAAATTTTGTTCGTTTTCCCTCATTTTTCGTTAGTAAAAAAAAATATTTATCCAATTATTTTATTATAAATTAATTAACAAAAATATATTAATTAATTTCTTAAAAAAAAAAAAAAAAAATTATAAAAAAAAAATGTAAAACCAAGAAAATAAAACATAAAATCAAGAAAAAACAACAATCAGACATCCTCGTTTAGATAAAATCTTATTTTACTAAATGATTTTATTTTATAATAATTAGCAAAAGCCTAAATAAAGTTATTCCAAAATCCAAACAACGAAAGATTGGTTTGACAATTTTTTCTTTAAAGATTGCCGTGACCCAAATTATTCATATACAATATTAAGACTTCTCCTCCCAGTATATGATAAAGAGAGAGGAGCGTTTGGTTTAAAAGAAAAAGTTTTAGCAGATATTTTCTCTAAAGCCCTTCCTCCTAGTAAAGATATTTTAAACAGATTAAGATTTTATAAAAACGCTACTTATTAACCACATTAGGCTCCTATAGGTGATTTTGGAGATGTATTAAAACATGTATTGGATGATTTTTGCCCAACTATGCATGTAATAACAATAAATTAAGTTGATGAAAATTTAAATAAATTAGCTTAAGCATAAACTAAAGAAGAATAAATCGAAATTATAAGGTTTTTAATAAAATAATGCACATCAGAAGAAATGAAATGGATAGCAAGGTTTTTTTTTTAATACAAAAAATAATAAATAATAATTTTTAATTGAAATAAAAAAATAAAGATTAATTTTAAAAGATTTAAAAATAGGTATAAATCATGATAAAACATTAACTTTATTTCACTAAGACGCCCTAGCTTTATTTAATACTACATCAAGTTTAAGAGAAGTATGTAATGAATTTTAGGATAAAAACCACCGTTTATAAGAAGTAATGAGAATTTTTTACCCTATAAGGCCTATGTTGGCTTAAAAGAAGAGTTTGAAGGATATCTAATATATTTTAGAAGGTAAAGATTTCCTAATAGAGACCAAATATGATGGAGAGAGAATATAATGTCACGTAACTGAGAATGAAATAAGATTCTTTACCCGAAATTCGCATAACTATACAAATATATACCACAAGATGTGCGTAATAGTCCGTCATGGGATTTCATAAGAAATAAACGAATGTATACTAGATGGTGAGATGGTCGTTTTAGAAAAAGAAAGCGGATAATCAGTTTAATTTGGGATGAATAAAGTAGTTGCATTATCAAATGAAGATACTGATTTTTGCATTTGTTATAAAGTTTTTGATATTTTATATATTAAAACTAAAAATGGAAATGATGTGAATTTACTTAGTTCAACTTTAAAAGAAAGAAAAGAAGTTTTAAAAAGTGCAATTGTAAATGAAATAAAATATTAATTAGAAATCATATAAGGAAACGAGTATTCTAGATAGGAGGATATTTTAAATGAATTCAATGAAGCAATGAATAATAATGAGGAAGGTATTATCATCAAATAATTAGATAGTTAATATGTGCCAGATGAAAGGTCTAATAAATGGATTAAAATGAAAGGAGATTATTATGAAGGAATCACTGATACATTAGATTTAATTGTTTTAGGAGCATTTTTAGGAAATAAATCATATAAAACATCAGGCATAGGAGATTGGACAGATTGCTTAACTCATTTTTTACTTGGAATAAGTAGCTATATTGATAAAAATGTGCCTACAAATTCTGTATTTTTGCCATTTTGTAAAGTTGGAACAGGATATACAGATGAAATTTTAAGAACTATAAAAATAAAATTAAGAGATTAATGGGTTAGAACATCAAATTTGCCATCTTTTGTTTAAAATTGCAAATTATAAAAATCCGTAAAAATGAAATATATATATATTAATATAGATATATATATATCTATATATATTTAAATATATATATATATATATATTATATTATATATATATATATATATAATATTATACATATTTATTTCCTTATATATTGAAAAAAATATATTTATATACTTTTATAATATATTTTTAAATATATATATTTAAAATTTATTATATTAGGATAAACCTGAAGCTTTTATTAATTCGCCTGATAATTCGCTTATTTTTGAAGTTAGGGCTTCAGAAATTATTAATTCTCATAATTTTCCAACTCATTATACTTTAAGGTTTCCTCGTTTTGAAAAATTGAGAACTGATAAAGATTGGTATGAATGTATGACATTAGAAGATTTATAATAAATGAAAAATAATTTAAGTAAAAAATAAGGCGAAAGTGATGCTGAGAAAAGTTAAAAAGAAGATGGAGAAGATAATAATGAATAAGGTACAAGATCACCTAAAAAAAGAAAGCAAATTAAAAGAAACCATCAAGAATATGCAAATTAGATAATGTAGTAATATTAATAAATAGATGTTTCTTAAGTTAATTTAGTTTCTTAATTGTTTATTGGGTTTGTTTTTAATATTATTAATTGTGAAGAAGGTGAAAAGCAAAATCTCTAATTTTCTATTATTTCTAATAATGGATAAGTTTTTTAAAATGATTCCGGAAAAGTAACACATTATTTAGCTTATATGCATGATTTTAGAGTTTAGGCAATAATAAATAATTATAAAGTAAATGTTTTGAAACCTAAATGGGTATTCGATTGTATTAAAAGGAAAGAAATTCTTGATTATGCACCAAAGTATATAACTTTTGCATAAGAAGAACTTAAATAAAGAAATATAGCTTTATATGATAAATATGGAGATCCTTATTTCAAAGAAATAGATGTTGAGGAATTAAGAGATATTTTAGAAAATATGAGCTGTGATGATGAAATTTTCGAAAAAGATAAAAGTCTTGAAAAAGAAAGAGATATTCTTTAAAAAGAATTAGGAATAGGATTTAACTAGAAAACTTTTTTTTTATTTATTAGAAATTCAAATGAATGGAAATAAATTAAAATTAATATTTTGTAAAAAGGAGGAAAAATTTTATATGATTTAGATTAATAAAAATTAATTGATTTTATAGTTGATTATAAAATGAATTAGGAAGAATTGGAAATTGCTTAAAATTATATAGATGCGAATCCTTAAACTAAAATTGTTTAATATTAATTTATTGATTAATATTTATGATTTTTTTTTTTTTAATTTAATTTTATATTATTTTATTTTATTTTTTTCTAAAATATATATTTATATTATTTTCAATTTTATTAAAAAATTATAAGAAATATTTTTTTATTTTAATTAGTATTATTATTATATATATTATTATTAAAAGTAATAAAATTTAAATTTTAAAAATTTTATTGGAAATACAAAAAATAATAAAAGGCTCTATTTTTATTATTTATTAAATTATTTTTAAATTTTTTAAAAATAATTAATATAAAAAAAATGTAAATAAATATATTCGATAAAAAAGAGTTTTATAAAAAATATTTAAAGTAATATTTAATCGAAAAATTTTCTATTTTTTTAAACAGTTCTTAATAAATAGAAATGTAAAATTAAACTAAATTTTAAAAAATATTTTATTATTTTATAATTTTAATTCTTATATCAAAATATATAATTTTTTAAAATAAAAAAATAGAAATTCATTATTTAATTACATAAACGAATACATTATATTTTCATAAAATATATTAAACGAAAGCGAATAATCATAGCAATTATTAATTCCTGAAATATTAGAGAATATATTTTTAAATGATGATACAAATAATTAAATAAATATCAATATATTACATAAAGTAAATAATAAAATATTTATCTAAAAAAATATTATATATATATATTTATTTCAATAAAGACCGAAAAGTGTTTATTTAAAATATTTTTATTTTTATAAAATATAAAATTAATGTATTAATACTTAATGAATTCTTAAAGTCTTGAAAAAAACGAAAATTATAAGAAAAAATATGAAAAATAATTAATAAAACATGTAGATTATTTAAAAATAATAAATTAAATGTAATAAGAATAATGTTTAAATGAAAAAATGTTATTAATATATAAATAATTGCTTGATATTTAAACTTAATCAAATGATTTTTATACATACTTATATTAATTTGCAAAAAAAATAGAATTCAATAATTTATAATAATACGTTAAATAAATATAAAATTAATTATAAACTTAAACATAAATTTGCGAAAAATAAGAGTAAGTTAAAATTTAAAAACCTTTATTAAAACATTAAAATTAAATTGATTCTTAAAAAAGTATTTCTACAAGTGAAAATAGCGAATAACCTAAAATAATTTCAAATAAATAAAATAATTATATTAATAATTCTATTTAAATAATAAAATAATAAATTTAATAATAAAACATTATATAAAAAAATATCATTTAATAAAAAAAAAATAATGACACTTAGTTTATTTTCAAACCTATAAGTAGAAGTAGAACAATGTATTCTTAATAAATTTGTAGAAAAATATAAACTAAAAGCATTAATATGATTTAATAAAAAAGATAATCTAATATAATACTTGAAGCTACAAATAAAATATTGTAATAATAAAAAATAGGCATTGAGGAAACTAATGAAGATAGTGAAAATTCTTTGTAATTTTAAAATCTTTGGGGTCATAGAAAATAATATTGATAACAAATAAGTTTTTCCTTATTTAATTATTAATAAAAACTAAATTTTATTTATAAATATATATCTTCTTTTATTTTAATATAAATTATTTAATTTATTTACAATTTTAAAAAACTCTATCATTTGTATTTGTTGTATTTTTTATATTAAAAATAAATTTATAATTTTAATAATAAAAATAGATAAATATATATATTTGTACACATTTCTTACTTTTTTTTTCATATTTCCTCATCTTATATTTCATTTTAATTTTTATATTCGTAATTCTTCAAAATAAAATTTTGTACTTATTCATAAACTTAGTCATTTTCATGGTATTGTAACTCTTAAATCCTTTATTTAAAACCTAATTCTTAAAGTACACTTTTTATTAAATTATTTTCAAAAGATTAGGTCAGATTTTCACCAAATTTAATTAAAGCATCAACTCCTTATAAGCTTTTTATAATAATGTTAACATTATCTATTTAAATCATTTTAACATATAAATCTAAAATACCTTTTTCTACTAATTTTATTAATTGGAATTTATTTGCTCCGAAAACAAAATTATTTATACATATACATACTTCAAAAATAACCTTTATTTATATTTTATTTTATTTTTTTAAAAAAATTACTTCTTCTGAATCTATTTTTCCTATAAGAATTATTTTATCAATAATCCTGTTAAAATTTAATATTTCTTATATTATATTTTCACCCTCAATTATTAAATTTCCTAAACAAAATAAAGCATATTTTCTAACCTTTGTATTTGTATTATCAAGAGAAATAGATAATAATTCCAAAATATTATTTTATATATATATCTATTTATTAGTTTTTTTTAAAAAAATAAGTTAATGTAAAATCTTTTATTTATTTTTACTTCAGAATTATTTTAAAAATAAATTAAATTTCCTAATATTATTAAAATATCCTATTAGTATTATTATTAATTAAAATATTATAAAATAAGTTTAAAATTATCGATTTTTTCAGTTATTAAATTACAAACGTAATTATCAATTGACATATTTTTAATTATTTTTATTCCGTATTAATTTAATTCCATATTTTTTTAATCTTTTAAGCATATTTTGCATATATCTAGAAATTACTTTTTAATTTCTTCCTAAAAAATAAAATTATTAATTGATTAATTATATTCACAAATAAAAAAAACTTTATTTAAAACATCAATTGTTAAATATTAAGATAAAGTAAGATATATCCATGCAATCAATATTTTATTTTCAGAGTTTTCTTCAGTTTAATATTTATTTTTAATTATATCCAAATTACCCTATTCATAAAATAAACTAATAAGAGAAGAATATGTTAAACATAAATTTCCTAATCCAAATAAACCCTTTTAAATAAAATTAACTTTTAATTAATAACAATATTTTTTTTTACTAATTAATAAATATTATTATTTTCACTTTATAAAAATTATGAAAAAGCATCAAATATATAATTTAAGTCTGCTAAAAGATCTTTTTTTATTATTTAATTTTCAGTAGCAATAAAATTTTATAATATCCATGCAGCTTCATATTATAAAACATCAATTTCATTATTTTTTAAAATTTCAATTAATAAATTATGTATTCTTTATTATATTAAAATCTATGAAATTTCTTAATTGCTCTTTAAAACAGTTAAAATTCTTATTTTTTTAATTTATTATAATAAAATATCTATTTTTTATAATTCTTTATAATTATTATAATCTTATTTTAATTAATTGCACATTTCAATTATATATATTTCTAATTTCTAAAAATTAAATAATTATAAAATTTATATTAATATAATATTTTACTTTTTGATTGTTGTATATATATTAGGGTATTATTGCATATATTTATTAATTTGGCTAAACAGAATTCATTTCATATGTAGTTTATTATAAATATTTAGTTCTACACTTATTTAAAAGATCTTTTACTTAACTTTTACGCATACTATTTCTTATTAATTGTCGTTTTTTATTAATCAAATTTTCTTCACTATTTTTAATCATTTTTTTAAATTTAAAAAAAAATATATAAAAAACAAATTTATTATTATATTATGAATAAAATTTTCATATAAAAAAAATAAAATAAATATAATAGAGACATATATTAAATTTAAATAAAAAAATAATTATAATAATAAATTATATAAAACTTCTATGTTTTGATATACAAAAAATAAAAAATATTTATTATATATATTTATATAAAAAAGTTATATAAACAAATATATATAAATATAGATAAAATTATATTAAAATATATAAATAAATAAAAAATATATAAATAATATATTTAATAATTTAAATAAATATAAATAAAATTATATTAAAATATATAAATATATAAATACATATTTATTTTAACAATATATATATATTTATTTTTGTATTAATAAAAAATATATTTATATAAATATATTAAAGATATTTTATATTTTTAATTTTTCTTTTTTAATATTTTTATTAAATATATTAGTATATATTAAATATTTTATACATTTACTTTTTTTTTTTTATAATTTAAAATATCTTTAAAAAATAATATATTTTAGATTGTATTAAAAAATTTTTTTTTTTTTTTTTTTTTAAATTAAACATTAAATTATATTTTTAAAAAAATATTAAAAAAATTTATAAAATTACCACCTTTAAATATTATATGAGGGGGGAGAAATTATATATATATATATTATTTATTATTAAATTAGATTAAATTAAATTAAATTAAATTAAATTAAATTAAATTAAATTAAATT